TTCCATGTACACAGTACCATGAAACTTACGTGTTCATTGTGGGCTTCCATCTGAAGAAGGTATTGATCCTTTTACTGTGAAATCGCGTCTGGCATGTGATCCAACCACATTTTGCAAGCGAGGCACATGGTGCATAGGCGTAGGAACATTTCAAAAAGTGTGTGCGTGGTGGGGGGGGGGGGGGGCAAGCTTAGGAAGTACTTCATCAACTTTTTTCTGGAAAACAAGCCAGCCCGATGACAGGGGGGGGGGGGGGGGGGGTAGAGATGGAGGTTATCGCTGTTTATTCAAATGCAATGACCGATATTCTAGATATGCATCTAAAGCTGTTTCTCACTGGTGCACACTCTTGCCTATCCGACTCATCTATGTCATTCGGCAAATAACACTATCCAGCTTCCCAAGATTATTCGTCCATGTCAACATTGTTTTTCCTAAGAACGCGACATTCCACGAGGGGTAGGCATTTTGGGTCATTGAGGAGGCATCTGTATACACAGGGAAGATACCAAAATATGTTCTAAGCAAAGGCAGGTGAGAATTTTGAAAGTAAATCAATGGTTCACAGTACAACAGATTTTGCATTCGCCTTCATTTCCCTGACAGATTTTCAAGAGATAAGACTTGTCGCGGCATTTTAGGCGGAAACGAATTCGGAAGCTTGAAACTGCCCAAAACCATGTGACAAAAGTCATACAACTGGAGATTCTCGTTCGAGAACCAAGCCACAGAATGAAGATCCTTTTGTCATATATTCCTTATCTGAGCCCTGCTCCCGTCCGCCCTCGGTGGCCACTGTCCTGGCCCGGCTGTCTCCGAATGCCTGACCGCTGAATGATGGTGTGGCTGCTTTGTTGCACATTTCTGGATCAGCACTGCTACTTATTCGGATGTAACACATTTGTTAGATACCCGCTACAGTACTTTTTACCGCATTATCTTCCCCCACACCACACCAACCCAGAAAAATGGCTCCGGGAAGCTGCTTACCTTAGGTATGAATTGGCCCAACGGACATTTAATTGCTCGCCACTCAACGTAGATGACTTGATCTGCCTTTGCGTGTAGGCAGGGGGTACCCAGAGTCTTGCTAAGAGGAACGTAGGGTTGACAAAAGTCGCTCTTATGGTGACCCCCCCCCCTCCCAAAAATATCCTGATATAGTTTACCTGTTACCAAGGGATATGGTTTTCTTCGTTTCATCGCTATCTATGCGTTGTAACTAGAACAGAAACCAGAAGCTACCGTGAAATCAATTCTGTTTACATTTATAAGGTCACAGAACCATAGAAATCAGGCGTTTAACGACCGCATGAAATAAATCACAGGTGTCTTTAATTTACAGTGGTTCAGTGAGCTCTTTCTAAAGCGACGGAATTCAGAAGCTTTTTCATAATGTTTTATCTGCGTTCTACAGACGTTGAGAACATCGCGAAGGTAGACTGTAAGATCGATACGTTTGATCGAAATTTGAGGGTGAAAATTTTGATTGTAGATCGAGTCGTCAACAATGTATATCAACATCGCCAAACCATGTTTGCCTAGAAATGTTAAACATTCAGTCAAAATCGGTCAGTGATACAATTCATATAACGTGGTTTTTAACATACGCGCTCGCTAATCTTATCAACAAAAACCTCGACGCCAGGCGTTGCAGTCTCCGGAGGCCGTGCATTGTCGCCCCAGCAGCTAATAGCCGTGGCCAGCGGGTGGACGAAAATGATGACGCTTCTGAAAGAAGTACCTTTGAACGCTTCAGGACATCAAATCTTACATCTATAAGGCAGTTTGGGTGCATATTTCACGTGTGCAGTTTTTATAATGAAGATAAGAACGGACTGGTCCTTAAAGCCCGCGAAGTGGTGCTGGACTTTGGTGGTGGAACTGAAAGAGTAAAGGTAGATTTTCTATTGTCCGTGTTTCTGTAACTATTAGTCTGTCTATAATGCAAATTAACACGGCGCCCGCCGTCTGGTGACACTTGCAGTGGCCGACGCCGTTCGGTTTTACGGAAGCTGCAACACAGACCATCGCTGTCCTTGCTCTCGAGGCCGCGGGCGGGATGTTCAAACATTTTGATGCATTCTTTTCACTACTTCATTCTGAAAAACGAACGTTCCCCGGCAAACATGGGATGGCCTTGTTTGTGTTTTTTAATTCGTATTAACCCACTCTATTGCAACAATAATGAGATCCCTTATTTCCTACCGGGCAAGGGGTCCCTTGAGTATAACACCAGGGGCACATTACCGGTTCCGGTCAAGGGCTGATGGGCCACTCCGTCCCATCGCAAAGTGTCTTCTGACTGTTATTCTAGCGACCTGGTCGATCCGGAGGCCATTGCAAGTATATGAGATATCACATCGTTCCTCTCCCTGACACGGGAGGCCCTCTGACCCGCGCAGTTGGCCCCAGATCAGCACAGGAACCCTCATTGACGCAACAACATTCCTGATCGCCAAAGGTGGTCCAACAATTGTCACATAGGCTCCAATTCCGTGTTTTTCTGTGTTCCTCAGAGATATTGAGTGATCCTGAACGTAGATCGTAGATGAAATGAGTCCTAAGCTTGTCTTAACATGGCTAATCCATGTTCGTCTTAAAATGTTCAAGACTCAGTCAGACTTGATTACTGATAAAAAACTATGTAATATGGTTTTGAACATACGCGCTCGTAAGTCATATCAACAACAGGCTGGACGCCCGGTGTTGCAGCCTCCATAGGCCGCGTGGCGTCGGCCCGTGGCTGTGACAATAAGTGATGGCCAATAAGCAAACGAAAAAGATGACGCATATTGAGGAAGATGGCTGGTGAACTGGGTAAATCGGCAGATGTGGTGGAAAAGTAGGCTAAACACAACCTTAATCTGAAAAGTGAGGAGGGGGCAGCTAACAATGCTGGCCCTCCACCTTGAAAAGTGGGGGGCCATGGCCCCCTGGCCCCCCCCCCCCTCGTTCCTACACCCATAGCCTGGTGTGACAGTAGTCTGGGAGTGCCGGTGATCGCTGGGAGACGAGGGCGTCGCTGTGAGAATGTCGCACCGCACCCGAGCCCTGCCTCTGATCTCTGGCTCCTGCTCTGCTCTCCACATGGCCGGGGTCTCCTGATGGCCGCGCTCACGCTGCCACATATTCATTGCTGCTGCTGCCGGTTACGACACGTCTGGCATACAGCTGTCTTAGTGTTGTTACAGGCTGGGATGGCAGATGGTTGTATAATAAATTAATCTTGTTCACGGATTCATCCTTATTCCTTCGGTGGTCGATATAGAATGGCTGGTTTTGATCACATTGCCCGATATTGTTGAACTGGTGGCAAGCACGCTGTATGTATTCAAAACCCTTCTAGCGTACCATTGCAGTGCGTTGCAATTGGACTGGAAGGGAGGGAGAAGGTACGGTATTTGACTCCACGTTTAAGCTCATGATGGCACGGGAAATATTTTAAGACATGGTTCCTACCCGTCACTCGTCGCAGGTCAATGACTTGCGGTGACTGTGATACATAATCCTTTCACAGGGCATTTAACATCATCTTTACGGATGTGTAGAGACGACAAGCTTCATGGCCAGGCGATCACCCTTTTCCACACATTCATGAAACCTTACCGAGCGCCGTTGAGGACCCCCGCAAGGTGTTGGGTATGCAATGGCGTGGAAAATGAAATGCCGAGTGAAGCATTTAAACGCTTGTATAAGCTACTGAAAGTGACTCTATCCCAAACGAAAAATATTGAAGTGTTTCCCATTGCTGTCGTTCTTGAACTTGGTCTTATTTTGCTTTCTGTGCATATTCGAATTAGAATGGCCGTGACTTGTGCTCTGACCGCCCCATCTGTAGGATAGAGCGGATTGAGCTGCATCATGTCCAATAGGATCTGGGTGACTTATTCCAAATATATGCGATGGATGGAAGTATTGAGTCACTCAGCTGACCTACATCAGCTTCCTCTGCCGCGTACGCGTCCTGGGCTCAGCGCGACAAATATTTTCGCTTTGCATATTGTTGAAAGTTTAAGCGATCGATGTAAGCGTTGTTCAGGGGCCCGCGGTACCATAAGATCAATCTGAATGCTTTATTGAGTGGTGAAAAAGTGCATGTGTCGTACACGCTGCAAAACAACGCTGCAGATCCTTGCTCCCAAGGATTTCGGTATGGCACAAGCTTTCTTATTTTTCTTTTCATATTACGCGACACACAACCGGCACTCCGGGACCTCTGGGACCTCCAATCAGCACCTTATGGGGGAGATGCATGTCCCACTGTACCCCTCGCCTGCGGCCCTGCGTCAGGCCTCCTCTCAATTATCATGGTGTTGCGTCATTGGCCACGGCCAGGGCTCCTCCCCGTGCCATTGCAATAGTGTGTTCGTGTTCATTTGTGGCAATGCATTGCCGCAAACCGTGCACGGTAGAATTATCGTGGTTTTTGAGTGGTTCTCTAAAATTTTAGTATGGGCGATGGGCATGGAGATGTGCTCAACCTGCCCGTCTGACGACAAAGCGGTTAGTAAATACCTCACCGCCCGCCTGCACATGAAATGTATGCTTTTCAGTCAGAATATCTGATAAATATGAAACTCCGCCTGGAAACTAATCGTTAGGTGGCCACAAATTGCGCCATTGAATGCGAGTGAATCACTATTCCACCCGCCTCTTTGAATAGTAACCCAACATTTGCGCACTTTTTTAACGCCGTGACATGAAAAGCTATGCAACACTCGCATATCATTATTAATAACAGATGGCTCTCCTTACCTTTCTACTTTCAGTTGATTTCCGCGAAAACGGATAAAGGCGTTACTTTAAAAGACACAGCACAAACTCTGCCACTATCGTCTCTCCAACAACATTACTGCAATTTTGCAGTGATATGCATACAAAGATGGCGCGATGGGTGCGCTTGTGACGGATCGAAAAATCAAACGCGGAAATGTATGCGGAAAGTAACCGCCGGCGCCAAAATACCACAGGGACTCAGGGAGGGGCTGAGGGTGGGGACCCGATTTACAGAGTATAGTTCGTCCAATTTTGAGCGAGAGGGTGCGATCTTAGAGCATAGAAAACATTTTGTGAGGAGCGTTTAGTGCTACTTTTGGAACTGTTGGTTAAGGTAGCAGATAGAAATGGTGGGTAACTATCCATATCGCAGTTCAACCTCGCGTTATGGTGTGATGCCGTTACATGATTCCCTTAGTACCTTGAGCGTGATGGATAGGTGCTAGGCAGAGCATATTTGCGTTCATTCAGAAGAAACGTTAGTTTTGCCCAAGACCAGTACATTTGTGGAGGTACCCTTAGTTGTATGTGGATGCCTGGGACATTTATAGATGTGCTAATGACAATGTCACACCCTCATATTTCAGGCAATGGCAGTTACATCCTACAGTGTGCTGTCATTTGCTACTTACACATACAATTCAGTGTCATTTAAGTTTGCAGTTGCTTACTTGCTGCTTGTATCTGCATCAAGATTATGGAAACAGAATACAAAGCCCATCCACTTAAGCAAGGCAAGTTCCATATGTGAGCCGCCCTGCTGTTTGTGGACTGTTTCAGCAGTACACTCTTATGGAATAACTGAGCACATTGTATACAATCCAATAAAACATTACAAACTTGTGTTATGCTCCCATGAATGTGTATGCCATGTGCCTTGTACCTACCTGCATCAGGTTAAAAGTGGGGGTTTGTACAACTGATATGGGTGTGATTGGCTTAATTTTTCTTCATGGTTTGTAATCATAAGTCAAGCCTTTATGAGACCAAGATATTTACCCTCTGTGTGCACCACAGCTGATGAGCGCCTACAACTATGCCATGGCACTTGCCAATGCCATCTGCTGTGGCATGTTCCTCATGGCACTGTTCAAGTGTGACAAGTTCTTCAGCAAGGCCCGTGACCCTCGAGTGGAGACTGCATCACTGCTCTACTGGCTGCTGAAGATTGCTGAGCTTCTGGATACAGTGGGTGTGACTTACCTGGTGCACACAAAACTGTACACAAAAGGCAGTTGCGATTTGTTTATCAGAGGGTATGCCTCCCCCCCCCCCCCCCCATAATGGGTGCAGAACTATGTGAGAAGTTGCGTGTCTCCCATCTCTCCCACAATGTGTGTGAGACATTGCACTCATTGGGCTGAGCAGCACATCTGTCTCAGAATGCGTGAAGTAGGTCATTCATTAAGTGCTGTAATAAAGGACAGAGTAGGACAACTTGCAGGATCTAAGATTGATGCACTGATGACCTGGTCACAGTCAGGTAAAGCACATGCACATACATCCACGTTTATGCGAATTTGGCGGTCTGCTCGCCCGGGGTTCCGCTGCCCGGTGACGCCCCAATCCGCTGGCCAGGTGTTCATGCTTCTGCGCCACAAGACGAACCAGATCAGCGTGCTGCACGTGTACCACCACACCAGCATGGTGCTGCTCACCGACTATTTCTACCACCTGGCACCCTGGCCTGCCATCTCGTTCCCGGTCATGGTCAATGCCTTCGTGCACGTCTGCCTTTACACCTACTACGGGTGAGTACGCTTGGGCCGGCGCGGCCGGCGCGGCCGGCGCGGGCCAGTCAGGAGGGTGCGCGTGGAAGGCACGTGCTCCGAGCTGAGCAGCCTCGCGCAGCGGATGCCGGCTGGCCTGATGGTTGTGGTGCTTGGGAGGAGCCCGGAGACGTGGCTGCCCTCAGTAGAATGACAGCGTATATAGTTGAGCAGTATGCACCCATCAGTACGCCTGCAAGCCCACGGACCTGATGGCTCTTCATTGGTCCCCCTTCCCCTTTCTCGCCCTGCGCCTGAGCCCTGACGCAACCGGATTTTGTTCCTGTTCCCAGAATGACCTCGTCGTCGATCTCGGTGCCGCTGCAGTGGAAGCGGCGGATGACGCAGCTGCAGATCGCGCAGTTTGCCGTGGGTCTGGCGCACGCCACGCTGGGCTACCTTCGTCACGGCTTCTGCGGCTACAGCATCCTCTATGCCATCACCATGATCGTGCTGTTCGGAAACTTCTACGTCCAGGCGTATGTCAGAGAAAAGAAACCAAAGAAGAAGGCTGTATGAAGTTGATGCTCATTTGCTTTCGTGGCACGTTGTGGACTTACACTCCTCAGTCCTTAGTTCAAGCCTCGTTCCCACGACCAGGACGAAGAAGAAGCCGAATTTTCACGTGTTGTGGACGCCGTTGATGATGGTAATGAATCTGTGTTAGCTTTGTAGGATTTACTTTGTTGTATGCCACATGTGTACTAACAGGCCAGTAAGCACGTCGCGGTGTTCTTCGTGTGCAGATGAGAAATAGTAGACTGCCTGCTTCATTTTGTAAGTGGCGGAAGTCATCGAAGGGTAACAAACTGTCAGTACAAGCAAACATGGCATTGCCCACTCCACTGCCAACATCCGAGTCAATTCGTGAATGGGTTGTGTGCACCTGGCTTGCTCGAAATTTGGTGCGAATTGTGGATCTGCCACATCAGGCATAACGTTTGTGTTCCGCCAAGCCCATGCGCTCAGAATGAAACCCTGGGGCCACGTGTGTGGTATTAATTGATAATGTTTTATTGTGCTTGTTGAGATTTTGCGCCTTACTCATCGTCCGGTTGCCATATCTGCTGCAATTCGTTGGATTTTTACACCGAGCCCATTGTTGTTCTATGCCCCTTTATTAGCATTTGCGCGTGTGGCGATCGCTTTTGGGGCGGGGAATATTAGTTCGAGGCCTTTATTGAATAAGAGGAGGTTTTTTAACCTTATTTTTACTCACTTGTTTCATGTCAAACGCGTTTTAACCCTTCGCGTTCACTCTCTTTAATTCGGGAGTTATAGTAACAAAAGGTAATGTGACGCGTATGCTATGCTTCAGTTCGCGTTCATGACATGTGCTGGTACTAGCAAGGGCACTTTTGTCACACATGGCAAGTGTATTGGACTGGTGGACATGTTTCCGCAAGTGCAGTTGACACCGCATCCGATTGCACGTGGACGATTATGTCTGGCTGGGGGGGGGGGGGAGGGGGGGGTGTATTTCAGCACGACCTGCCTATATCGCGCTGTGTGCATGGCGTTTCGGGGTTTGTCTGGGAGCGACAGGCCGTCCGGCCCCACCGCCGCAAGTCGGTGCGGCGAGTGGCGTCCCGCCAGGGTGTCTGGCACCAGGTGCCGTTTACCACTGCCTGAGCGGGTTTTATTCCGGTGGCGCGCGGCCGGTGCGCGCGAGCGTGTGCGGCGGGGCTGGCCGACGAGCCGGGCGGCCGGCGGCGCTCTGGTCGCAGCAGATGAACCCGGGCCCCGCTCGGTCCTGTCAGAGAGCCTCGGCGGACCGGCGGTGGGGCTGGACCGCTGCGCTGAGCAGGGTGGTCGTGTGCGTGCTGTCACAGAAACGTGTTTGCCGCGTGCTGATAATGAAGTCGATGTAATTACTCATACAAGTTCGGTTATGGTGGTCCCCGACACTCGTGCGGCCTGAAGAAAGTATTTGGGTAAGTGAGGGAATCATGTGGCCATTGGCGTCTGGCGTATTCCGGTGTCGGTGATTTGTTAACGGCGAGACGGGGTTCTGAGCCCTGGCCCAGGCCGTTTAATGCTGTGTATCCTCTCCGAGTGCGGCCAGGCGGCTGCCAGCTGATTGACACCGGTTCGCTCCCGTGACGTCAGTCCCCTGCCCTGTCGACCGGGACTCACGCGCCGTCGGCTGAAGGCCGCCGTTAGTCAACATCCCACAGCTAGCGCGCGGGCGGTCGTCGCTGGGCCCTGCAGCTTGTGACACCTGCCCGAGCTCTGCCGCTCGCGACACCTTTTGCCCGAGCTGTGCAGCTCGTGACACCTTTTTTCCCGAGCTCTGCAGCTCGTGGCATCTTTTGCCCGAGCTGTGCAGGTCGTGACACCTTTGCCCGAGCTCTGCAGCTCGTGACACCTTTTGCCCGAGCTCTGCAGCTGGTGGCACCTTTTTCGCGGAACGTGTACTCCTCTCGGTTACAGGTGGTACCCTGCCTCGGCCTTGCTGCTGATACGGGTTATCTGAGTTTATTCACACCTTTGTATCCACGGGGCATTTTAACCAGGCGAGTGGTTTGTATTGGTGACAGCCTTGTACGGAATGCAATAAACGCTTGAACTGCGCAGTTCGTTTCCTCAGTGCGATCGTGATGTGAAGGTTGTTGCAGTAGTATATCACTGGGGGGTACGCTTGGTACAATGCGACCGGTGGCGGCCATGCATAACGTATGTCACGATGGTGGCCATGTCTGCTGCGTCCTATCTCGTCCTCGCCAGGCTCAGCGTTTTGCTCAGTCCGGCGCTGCTGCTGATGCTAACGTACATTGCTTTGCCATTCTGACAAATGTCTGCAACGCGGGTCATTTTTGCCACGTAACTGGAGGATGATTGTCACGAAGGAACGGAAATCGTGCTTAGGGAGCAGATGTTTTTCACCATCACCCTTGTGGTCACCATCGTGGAGTCGCCATCATCACGGGGAGATGCGTTGCGTTGCGGGGAGGCGTAGTCAATGGAAACCAGTGTATGGGACGGAATGGTAACTGCCCCTGTATCGAAGAATCAACAATCCGACATAACCAAACACATCCAGATACACCTTCTGTCTGCATCAAGCCATTTATTCGCGTCCCTTTTGGGGAGTTTTTTTTTTAGTTTGCGCTCGCTCACATCGAAATAAAGATGCTCGCCATCAGGCACTGACACGATAAAAACGATTGAAACGGTGTAGCAAATGACATTTTCTCCACTGAACGTAACACAAGTTACGCTTCTCACACTGGGTGGAGGCCGCCGCCACGCCAGGCCTGAAGCTGAACCCGGGCGCCGGCGTCTGTCAAGACCGGTGCGATCTTCCGCCGGAACAGTCAGCTCATGTCACAGGCCTGCAGCCAGTGGGAGAGGCCACAATATGGCAGGCCACGCATCACTGGTCCCTATCCTGGGCCTAGTTTCGCGGAATGAAACTGAGGGTTCCGCGGTCTGGATTCACGCCACATGGGCGTAGTTTTCGTCAACTTGAGCTCACCGACTCGTCCTAACCACGAACGACTAACACATCCGAAAATGAAACGCAGTTTCCTTTCCCCGGCCCGTAAATTTCCACGGTGGCATGAGGAAAGCGCCTACGTTCGGGGCTTCGCTTGAGGAAAACTGGGCCAAGGTCATGGTGAATGACTTTTAGCGGTTCATTTTCGACAAGACAGACATTTGCTATCCGACTGACATTAAAAACAAACTAGGGTATGTCGTGGTTGGCTTTTGAACTAAACGCAGTTTCGCCAAAATACAGCAACGTAAAGAGCATTTGGATAGCCCAACATACGAGGCTTGCAAACAATGTGATATCTTGCCACATTCTGATGCATTTAAACTCCTTTTAACCGAACGCACACCCCATAGCACCAACCATGCCCGCCGCGCCTCCCTCACTCCTCAGCCCATCTGATGCACCCGCAGAACACTGGAGGCCCGTGAAACTCCTGCACGCGGCATCACGACGCACCACAGTCGGTTCCTCGCGTACCGCACCCTCCTAGGCCACGTGAGGTCGGGTCGGACGGCGGTCACTAGCTGGGTGTACCCGCCGGCGCCGCGCCGTCCGTGAACACGCGCACAGCCCGCGGCAGCAGCCGCACCAGCACCGGCCGCACCTCGAACTCCTCGTTGTCGAACCCGAACCAGCGCGTGTTGGGCGTGTCACCGGCGGTGGTGCTCCGCTTCTGCCAACGACATGGGGTTGAGGGTGGAGGGTCAGACCGGCCGGGTCTGGCGGCACTCTCAGGGTGGGTACAATCGGCAACGACATGGACATGTGTTGGTGCCCTGGACAGGCGGCCCCAGCGAGCCGGTGTTACCACCTCTGTGGGATTGCCGTCACCCGGTGTGCTCACAAAGTGGCGCTCATTGTGGTCAAACCACAGAAAAGGGATTCCGAGCACAACTGACTCGCATATAATAATGTTTAAAAGAACGCGATATGTGGGTCATCTTTGTTATCCAATCGCAGACGAGTGTGCTGCATGGGATGAGATAGACACGTTCCGCTGCAGTCCAGATGGATCAAAGACGGCGCACGCCACTTCTGCCATTTACCCAGCTGAGTAGAAGCGTTGGCTTTACGAGACGGAATACACCAGACGACACCCCGCACGGTTCACCGAATCGACCATCAAGACTGGAGCAGATCGACAAAGGAGGCAGTGGGAAGTGACCCAAAGAGAAGCATTGGGACTGGGCATCTGGCCTCCGGCAGTGACTATGACCTCGGCCATGGGCCGACGCGGCTGCCTCACCTCCGGGTGGGGGACCAGCCGGACCTGGCCCACGGTCAGCTCCTCGGCGGGTGCCGGCTGACGGCCGGCGGCCCGGCTCCAGCCCTCGCCGACAAACTCCGCCGACGTCATCGAGTCAGGCCCTGTCAAGCACAAAGCGTCTCAGCAGGCGCACAAACGTCATCCCAAGGTCCAAACTCGGCGCTAAACCAGCCGACATCCGTACATCGCCGCCGCCAGACCGCGGACGTGCCGCGAACACCGTCAGACCACATGGGCCAAACGTCGCCTCTGATGGGGCGGACTCCTGTGCGGGCTCACCTATCCGCAGGTGGAGCCCAGGCCCCGACTCTGGCTGCATGTGGCTAGTGCGCAGCCGCCACTCCACGGCGGACACGGGCCGCTGGTGCCACACGCCACACGCCGGGTTGTCCACCGTCGAGTAGTCGGTCTCAGGCTCTGGAGCGAACGTCCGAAATGGTCGAGGCCGGGGGGCTTGGCGATGTGGTAACACATACGTCATTCGTTCACTTAACACAACATGCACCATTCAACTCCAGACGATGCATATCAGCCCGGCAACTACTCACTGCCAGCCTGTCCCTATGATTCCCTAGTTAGCTATGCACTTTTTCGGTTTTCGCCACGCAATTTAAACCGGAAGCTGCGGTCATATGATAAGAAACGGGGCTGGTGAACTAAACCTTTACATTATTTGCGCATACATGAACAATATGCTCTCATATTTAAGTTTTTGTGTCAATTACCTTGTTCATACTGCGAAAGATGTGCTACTGTGATAAAGGAGATGTCACAGTAACACATCTTTTCAAAAACGGCACCTTAAGTATCCGCACTTCAGCTCACACTCACTAACATTTCCAATACATTTCGGACCCAAAATAAACACATTATCATTGACCACAACACACAGTCGTTTTGTTCTCGCCTGGCGCGTCCCTGAACACTCACGGGCCGGTTTGGGGGCTGGCCTGGGCTGGGGCAGCAGCCGCGCCCACCAGCGGGTGTTCGCTGCCCGCTGCTGCTGCTGTTCAGCCTGCTGCTGCTGCTGCTGCTCAGCCTGCTGCTGCTGGTAGCAGCGGCTGCAGCCGGCGCAGAACGCAGCGTACTCCATGTCAGCGTCGCAGCTCCACGTCAGGTCTGCAGGAGACCACATCGTGATCGGGTATCTCGCCGAACGGCCAGCACGCTGAACAGCCACGCGACCGCCGCGTGCTCACACTGCGCGATGTCCACTGAACTCTCAGATGGGTCAGGCTAAAGCCGGAAGGATGAGCTTCGGTGCTGGAGAGGAATCGATTGACGCAGTTACACAGGAGTGCGAAGCTGACTTGCTTCAGTCTTCATAACACATAACACATAGACCGCCTTCGCCGATCCGCCCTCTTCCGGATCAATAATTGTCAGAGTCCACGACTCGGGCATTATTGCAAACAGTTCTCAGCAGAAGGTGACATTTCTATTCGCGCGTCGCTGCTGACCAGGGACACGTAGTACGTACCTCTGACAACGTTGAACACGTACGCCATACGCTCCTTGAGACCGCCCCAGTACCAGTACTTGCGTACTTTGGTCTGGACGTCCCTGAAGGCCCCCCAGGAGATCTCGGAGAGAAGATAGACCGGTCGGCCGGGCACCTCGGCCTCCGTCTGCGACCAGTGGCATCTAGTCACACTCCACTCACAGTCACACGCTGCAAGCCACGCTCATGTCACGCAACAGGGGACCCACACCGCGCCACGTGACGGTCTGTGATCACTGCGTCACGTGACGGGCTGCGCACACGACAGTCAAGTCACGGGCCCCGCACACCTACGTCACGCAACAAGCGACTCACGGCGCGCCACGTGACGGTCTGTGATCACTGCGTCACGTGACGGGCTGCGCACACGACAGTCAAGTCACGGGCCCCGCATACCTACGCTCCGCCACAGGACGTGCACACCCCGCCACGTGATGAGCCCAGCACGCGTAAAGGGCACGTGCACAACAGGCACGTGAAGCTACGCCACGCCACGTACAAAGTACACGTAAGCTCGCGACAATGCCGTAACTGGCCTTGGATATAATTCCACGTAATGAGCCATGCCAACGACCGTTTGTAAAGGGCACGCGCGGATCACGCCAGTAATGAGGCCCGTATGGACTTCTGTATCGACAAGCTTCACCAGCGGCCTGACCACAAATATTCCACAACACAAGTCAGGAGAATACTGAGAAGGGAAGCGTTCGTTCTCGTGTTCAAACCAATCCCAATATTCCGGGCAAGCACCGAATAGCTTTGCACTTCCAGTAAACTAGGCTTGACAACTGTATTCAAATAGGAGAGTGTCACTCCAGCAGGGATGTGACGGCAAAATTTCGGTCCCAGTCATTTCCTGCAGCCAGATGGCGGATCAAGTGGTAACCGTGCCTCCAGCGTCGGACATCATGGGGCAGGGTAGGAGGCGGCGCACCTCCAGAACCGGACACGTAGCCGGAGCGACTGGGAAGGGCGAGCCACACCCCCAGCGCCAAACACATAACCAAGGTGGTGGACAGAGTGAGAGGGGTGCTATCTCCAGCGTCAGACACGAAACACCGGGTCTAGAAGACGGAGAAGAAGCGTGGGGGGGGGGGGGGGCGTACCTCCAGCGTCAGACACGAAACACCGGGTCTCGGGGGAGGGGAAGGCGGGTTAGCGGTGGCGTACCTCCAGCGCCTGCACCTCCATGGCGTCCAGCGGCCGGATGGTCTCGCGCACCAGTGCCATGGTGGCCTGCGTGATGCGCGTAGCCTGGTCGGCCTCGGTGCGACCGAGCAGCGCCGCCGCCACGCTGTTGGTGTTGCCCAGCGGGATCAGCGCCAGCGGGAGGCGGCGCACCGCCTGCAACCGGTCGGCGCGCCGCAGCAGGCCCGTTACCACCTGTAACAGACACGGGCCGTCACCACCTGCCACAGACACGGGACGTCACCACATGTCACAGACACCGGCCGTCGCCGCCTGTCATAGACACCGGTCGTCACGACCTGTCAGACACGGGCCGTTACCATCTGTCACGGAAACGGGTCGTCACCACCTGCCACAGTCACGAACCGTCACCACCTGCCACGGGCCGTCACCACCCGTCACAGCCACCAATCGTCACCACCTGCCAGTCACGGACCGTCACCACCTGTCACAGACACGACCCGTCACCACATGTCACAGACACAGGTCTTCACCACTTGTCACAGTCACGGACCGTCACCACCTGTCACAGCCACCAATCGTCACCACCTGCCACAGTCACGGACCGTCACCACCTGCCACGGGCCGTCACCACCCGTCACAGCCACTAATCGTCACCACCTGCCAGTCACGGACCATCACCACCTGTCACAGACACAACCCGTCACCACATGTCACAGACACAGGTCTTCACCACCTGTCACAGTCACGGGCCGTCACCACATGTCACAGTCTCGGACCGTCACTGCCTGTCAGACACCGGCCGTCGCCGCCTGTCACCGACATTGGCCGTCACCACCTGCCACAGACACGTGTCGTCACCACACGTTACAGACATGGGTCGTCACCAACTGTCACAGGCACGAGTCGTCACCACCTGTCACAGTCACGGACCGTCACCACTTGTCACGGACCGTCACCACCTGTCACGGACCGTCACCACCTGTCACAGCCACCAGTCGTTACCACCTGCCACAGTCACGGACCGTCACCACCTGGCACAGGCACAGGCCGTCGCCACATGTCAGTCACGGACCGTTACTGCCTGTCACAGATACCGGCCGTCACCGCCTGTCACCGACACCGGCCGTCACCACATGTCACAGTCACGGGTCGTCACCACCTGCCACAGACACGGGCCGTCGCCACATGTCACAGTCACGGACCATCACCACCTGCCACAGACACGGGCACTCATCATCCATCACAGACAAAGGTCATTATCACCTGTCACATTCATTGGTGACAGGTCCCAGAGCCACAACCGGCCGTCACCATCTGTCACATTCACACCCCGCTGCCGACAGACGCACGCAACTAACACCCGACATATTTTTCATTGGACATTGTCACTGATAGCCACTCCAACACAACAGTTATCTTTGCCACATCATAGACAAGGCATTCGCCAGTTGCATGGCATCATCTTCAGCAGCCGCTTTACCCAGCGTAATGGACTGAAGTTCCCTGTTTGGAGCCGGGACCCACCTCGGCGACTGTTCCATCTCCACCGGCCACGATCACGGCATCCGTGTTATCCATGATTTCCATGAGGTCCTTAGCCTGGCCCTCCTTTTCTGTTTTCACGATGCCAACCTTGAGGCCGGCCAAGTTCAGAAGAGGGCCGCAATACTTGTCAAACAGAGCACGGCACTTCCTGTAGGCAGCCCACGGCATATGCATGAATGCATGCGGACATGTGAGATGCTATTTTAGAACGTAAAACAAGATGTGCGTTAATTCCCATAAAACCGAGGTGTTTCACACTTGGACAAGCATCACAAACGACGGAAGAGAATGTGCAGCGATATGACGTACTTCGCTTCAGCAGTGAAGTATCCAAGACTCACCCATCATTGGCCGTTGGGTTCAGGATGACCGTCACATGACGTGGCCTGGCGGTTACTGGCAGGGGAACATCGCCATAGGCCTTCGCTTCCAGACAAACTTGGCGAAGATACTGCGACTCCCTGAAACAAATGTGTCGGAGCACATGAGTATTGCAGACTTCATATGTAACTATTGTGTGTGATTAACTCACTGAGCAGATAACAAGCGTCCTGAAAAAAATCACGCCATGTATAATATAATGTGTAATCGTTCAAAGTACAACTAAATGCGTTCCTCTGAGGTCTATCATAAGTCAAAAGAAGTCACCGTATCCATGGAATATGAGGAAACCTCCAAAACCTGCACGACAAAAATGTTATTAAGCTTCAATTTGTTCACTTGGGGTATTACAGATCATTTTCGTATCCAATGTATTACAGCCTACAGGGGTGCAGTTCCCTTTTCAGTTAGGGGTTGGGGACTTCAGCCCCTCATCCACTTAAAAAGGTGAGGGTGACAAAATCAGGAAGACAATTGTCTTTGTAATTTATTCCGGTGGCATCCCAAGCCATTGTTGTATACTTTTGCAGGCTCCAAGATTTCAGGACAACAGTCTGCATGGAAAAAATACGTAAACATAACGTACGTACGCAAAGTTTGCAAGGAGATGTACATAAGGTAAAAAGCATGTGAGGCCAAAGTACATACGCTTAACTTCGCAAGCAAATGTTCGTATGGTACAAATGCTTCGCAAGGTCAAAGGCACCGTACGTATGGGAAACGTTCGTATTGACAAAAGTTCGACTGGAAAAAGTTTACATACACAAAATCGTCCGCAATTATCCGTTAGCAAGTTCATGGAGCGCATGTTTGTAACGGCTAACGTTTAACAAAAGTGCGCATGCCAAAGTTGGTGAGCGGCATATACGTAGACACGGGAGTCCGTGGGTGCATTCCCAACTTTCGGAGAATGCTGACCATCGAACCTACTGAGATGCTTGGAGAGAACTGACTTCGGGATAGTGGGGGTGGATGATGCCTCTATGGAAGATGTGCCTGGACAGATCGACCACCAGGGCAATCAATTATGCATCGCAAGCTCTCAAATTGCGCCGAAATTTCGTTTCCAGGGATCATCTAGCTCTGTCCGGGGTACAGTTTAACATGGCTTCTCTCGGGCAATGCTGGGTTGGGTCCGAACAATGTCTCAATCAAAGGGGGTGTATCAAAGCGGGTCCAGCAAGTGGACCCTTCGGTTTGGCCTCCGGTTTGCCTTAAAAAAGGAGTCAAATGCCGGGCGTCACTCGCGCGTCTGCCCGCCTTCTTTCACACGCCAGCTGACCCAGGCCGTATATGCCAGCTGGCGTCAGTGGCGTGTTTAGAGGTCGTCAGGCGACGGCATTGACAAAGGTGTTGTCAAGGGATGGGGGAGTCATACACAACAAGTATGCCAGCTGTCTGCGGTGGATACTTCTCTCTCTATTTTTTCCTCTAGTCCCGTCCACCCAAGAGTTATTTTGCACTGCCGCCATTGACAGGTTTCATTGGTTCCTGCCAAGGGACATTCAGTTTTGTCCCATGAAAAATTGGGCTAGTAAGAATGTTCAACCTGACATAGCCATGGCTACTGTTCACTGCTATCCCCTACACTGGATGTGGTGGCCTTCAAAGTGACATTTAATCCAAGGCTCAGCACAAGGGACAAAAATCTGCATTCCAATGTACCATACACATATGCATACAAAGTTTTGTGTATATGCAATTGTCAAACAAACTTCATCCCTGATAACTGATATATGATCAGATATTTCTTACAAATTGTTGCTGGTGTGCACACAGCAAGCTCTGCCAACCAACTGTAAGCAACTACATGTGGAAATTACCATGGCAAAAGTTGTAAACCATATGTAAGGCTGCCACTACTTTTGAACAAGCCACCCCTGAGATGCATAAACTGCATAGATGTCATGTGACTTTCCTTGATCTAACCCAGTGATCAATCATATAAAGCAACACAACATGACACCAGTAAAACCCAAAGCTCACATTTGTAGCCACCACCTTGTCATGCTATTTCTATCTCATAAATTGGGTCTGTGAATGTAAAGGGAATTGCATCAAACAAAAACACAAAAGCAACAGAAGTTGGTAAGAATAAAAAGGCTAGTGAGGTTTAAATATTAATCTACCAAATTTTCTGCAGAAATCATTCTAGAATGAGAGTCCTGGTTAAGAATAGCTTGGGATACAGAAATAACCATTGTCAAAATATGTGAATGTGACATGCAATGTCATTGATATGACAATGCTGTCCCACTTTAGCTCAGCCATCTTTCCAAATTAAAACTCTAAAAACAGTGCAGCGGGGTCAGTTGTGTTGTCATACATGCCTATTGGGGATATTCAGGGTGTTGGCCATTACACTTAGATATAACAGCACGAGAAAGTCCTAAACCAAGAAATTCAGCATAGAAACTACTTGGGGCACTTTCTGCATCTGAAATGGTTACTGTGTGATTGGATTTCCAAAAAATGTACATCAGTGGTAGTCATGAGACATATGCATAACCAGATGACAGCTTGTTGCATGATAAATGACACTATGTATGAACATCCACACATGTGCATATGCCTACATCCACACAAATATATACAAATATCCAAGGTATAAATATATACAAAAATATATACAATACAAAATACAATATATAATAAATAATAAATACAATACAAAAATATAAAATAAATACAAAATATACAAATAAATACAAAATAAATAAATACAAAAATATATACAAACACACAAGGCTTGCTCATGTTACTCCCATATTTAACTGCTAGAGTCTAACTACCAAATGCCTAATATCAATTATATGTCATGATGTGAGAAGAAGTATTGGTGATATTGGTACCACTTTATCTGTGGTTCATTGATCAGGTTCAGATCACATCATTTCTTCATTCATGGTTCTTTTAATGACTTCTGTTTACTTTATTGGTTGTGTTGAATGCACTGATATCACTTAAGCCAATTGTTTCGTTGATAAGATTCATGTATGCCATGATATTGCTTATTTATCTGCTGTTTTTCAATGGTCCCTATCTATCCATTATTCATAGAACTTTTGCACTAGAAAGCATTCCTCTCCATGTTGCATACAACAATGCTTTGCCATCACCTCTACACCTGTACATGAGAACATATTAAGGTCCAGTCACCCAATTTTGTTGAAGAATGATGTTGAGGCAGTAAATTTGACTGCTCACAGAACTTATTTAATGTTTCATAAGCCCCAAAATTTCTGACCAAATGCATGACTCGCATACCTGTATTTAGAATGTGCGTATCTGGTACCATAAAAGACACAAACTGATGCGAACACAGACTTCTTCCAATTGTTCCTGAGCACTAGTACTGTTCTTCGCGCTCTTTCCATGGCAAATTATCGGCGCATCCCAAAGTTACGCCGCAATATCGAATGAGCGAAACCACCCAGAAACCATCGACATCCCCTATTGAACCGGTATTGGATATTAGCGCCAAGTACGCAGTCACGCCGAACAGCGATTTCAATGCCCCAGTGCTCGTAGCACAAGCGCCAAATATGAAACAGAGGTAGCTTCACGAACATGCTCATCTTGTCAAGGTCATATAATTGCTTTGCTCGTAAGGTAAAAAATTAGTTGCATGATGTTTTAGTGTATAGCTTAGTTTGTGATTTAGAACAAATAAAAAAATATTATATTCTAATTATTTTTTGAAATAGTGTCATGCCCACAATGTCTGGTTTTTACGAGTTATAACGATGTAATTTGCAGGACGAACTGGGCAGCGATTTGGTGATATGTTCGTAAAGCCGACAGCGTGACTCCACGGGAGCAAAACAAAATAAACACCAGCGATCAAGCTTTCAGCGGTTGGAGCGCTGTGGGCGTGACGGAATCACTCTGAGGTGATTTTCTAGGCACATTGAAGCAAATGCTGGGGAATCCACAGGAGTTGAAAGAAGGCCGTGTTAGATAGATTGATAGAGTGTGATTGAAGGCAGGAGCACGGCAAGGTTGGCTTCCAGGTTGGCAAGGAACATTTTCCAGTTCCACACCCATTCCAAGTCGGATTTTTTTCTAGTTCTTAAAGTAGCAGTAAAGGCATTGGGTCTTACCACTTAATGTACCCCTGCACACCGTGCAACAATGGTGAATGGGCCCTGCAAAAGTTGAACCACTTTGGAACCACTTTATTATTACTTACCAACAGTGTACCTAGTTGTCTGTGATACCAGCAAGATGGGGTATTAGTCCCATGAAATGCTTGGTCCATGGTGTTCACTATGGAGGTACCATCAGTAGTTGTCCTTATCGCATTACCATACATATGGTAATACAAATGACCGCCTAGTCATGGGTGGAGGTCAAGAATTAACGTGTTTCCACTATTATATTTAGGTCTCCTGGCAAGCTCGTTGACTGATATGGTCCAACTCAAAGCCAAGGTATTATTACTGACTAACAACATATTGGTGATGTATTGTGGGCAGTCCATGTGGGGTTGTTGCAATATGGACAGGGGTGGTCCAGCAGAGGAGGGTGGTAGAGGGGCCGAGAACACATTTTTGTCCTCCCCCTTAAAAAGTTGGGGAGGTTTATTTTTGCATAATTTTAGGCTTTTTAGCTGATGTGGATTGCCAAAATTTATACCAAGAAGGCCCAACAACTGAGCTAGAGAGTACTGCATTGGTCTCAGAAAACTTCCCTGGATCAAGGCCTGTTTTCCAGGTTATGAGGCTTTAGTTTTTGTCAATGAGATCCTTTGCTGGCTCAGGAGGTGACCATTATAAACTAGAAGACCTTCTTGATAAACTAGGAGGCCTCTATTTTGAACTATGAGGCCCTATTATGGCCTATGAGTTTCCCCATTTTCAACTAGGAGCCCCTACTTTGAGCTAGAAGGCCTGTACATTGAACTGGGTGATACAAGTTATAAGCTAGAAGGCTCTGTTATGGGCTAGCAGGCCCATTGTAAACTGGGGTCCCCTAAAACAAGGGGGCCCCCATTAGAAACCAGGAGGCCCCATTTTGAACCAGAAGGACCCATTATGAGCTGAGGATCCTATTATAAACAAAAGCTTTTGCTATGAACCAATTAAGCCCATTACAAATAGAAGGCCAATCATGAACAGAAGGTCTCATGGTGAACAGAAGATCCTCATTATAAACAGGAGGCCCAAACTATGGACATAAGGCTCATTATGACCAGAAGTCCCATTATAAACTAAGAGGCCTTCATTATGAAGTAAACACCCTGCCATTAGCTAGGAGGCCCCTGCTGGTAGCTAGGAGGCCCCCTGTTATTAAGCAGGGGTCCCTGTTATTAGCTAGGAGGCCCCTGCTATGGTTTAAAATTCACCCTCTGTATATTGAGAAGCTTTCTTTCAGGAACAGAAAGCCCACTAGCTGTCATGTATCAGAAGGCATGTAGCCAGACCAAACATTGAATGGGCATGGTTCATGGATTTTACCCACTATAAAAAGGAGTGCTTCAAAAGCCCTGTCATCCCTCAATTTTAACACATCGCTCATGACTGCGTCAAGTGACATTGAGCTCCCTGCTGCTCCTGGAGGTGGTATGGTTTCCCTGGCTTCAGGTGCTGTACATCAGCAGCACAGATGGGATTGTTCGTGGGCGTGGACGTGGGCACGGGCAGCGTGCGGGCGGCGCTGTTTGCCAGTGATGGCCAGCTGCTGGCCACGGCCACCGAGGCCATCACGCTGTGGAACCCCCAGCCCGACCTGTACCAGCAGGACTCAGAGGCCATCTGGCACAGCTGCTGCCAATGTGTGCAGGTGAGTCAGTAGTGATCGAGGTCAATAGCTCAATGAGTGAGGTTTCTGATAGGTGGCATGATCACGTGTTGTGCGCGGTGAACAATATGTGCTGCCAATAAGTGATTGCTGATCTTGGCATTTTTTATCAGCTTTTGAAATCTTAAAAGCCAGAACTTGGCAGATGGTTGCTGCTGTCATAAGATATAGCTGTCCCGAGCCATGGTGCTGTGGTGATCTCAATTTACTGTGTGACCGTGTAACGGAATTTTTCTCTTTGATTCGCCCCACTCTGGAGGGGGCGGGTTTCCCTCTGTGTCAGTCTGGGTCGGCATCATTGTAATGCCGACACCGACGTTTCCGACAGGATCGGCACAACCGCCGCGGACGTGCCAGTCCCGCCCACTCGGCCACAACCAACCGGTTGATGGTACGGGCCCTCCGGTGCGGGTGTACACACCTGTGTTGCCCTGCAAGGGGCTCGGGCTGTCAACTGAGGAAATTATCAGGGAAACTACTGCCACTTTTCTTTTGCGTCGCCGCAGATAGTGACAGGCGCGACAAGTGCACTGCGGGGAAAGACGATGCAGCCCCGCCAGCGCACTGACCATCACTGGTGACCGAGTAGCTGACCACCACCACAGTAACCCCTGTTACCCGTCCATCCAGATGGCCCTCGTTGACTCACCGTGGACCGCGGAGTTGTTGCCTGGATAGCGTGTCGGCGTTGCTCGGCTCTTGCGGCGCCTGGACAGCCCCTGACCCGCCGCGCCTCTTCCAGAGGGTGCTGTCGAGCAGCGGGGTCGACCCGGCGGCCGTGGCCGGGATCGGGTTTGACGCCACGTGCTCGCTGGTCGTGCTGGACGCAGCACTCAGCCCGCTCTCAGTCAGTCCCACCGGTGAGCTGGCAGGGCACGCTCCACCCGGTCATCTGGAGTGATGAACTCTCAGGGCTCAGTCTCCGCGCGCAGTCAGTTCACAGTCCGAGGGTTTTGGGCCATCTAGCGGTGTTCAGTCTGGCGGGAGGGAGTCCATGTGGTCCGGTCCAGTTCACAGTCAAGCAGAACGGCGAGTGCCTAATGCTGGGTACGTCAGCGGACCAGTCAGTCTGAGAAGCGCCTGCCCTGTCCCAACTCCGCACAGTCAGTTTAAGTGGTAAGCTCCCGGAGCTCTGCCCACTAGACTGGGTGGCGACGCTCTCAAACTGACGGTTACTCCTTGGCCCGCCAGAAGAGCGGTGTAGTAGCGGTTCGCAGTGTTCAGCTCGTCTTTCAGGCCCCTGCCCAATGAAAAATGTGCACATTCAGCTCATGGTTTCACCAAGATCACTCGATGTGCCGTGGTACCTCGAGACCAGCACGTGACAAGTGTAGGGCCTGAGGGCGCCGCCGCCGGGACGAGCGTCATTGCTGGATCCTGCGAGTGCACGCGCGTGCGTGCACTTGAGACCGTGAACTCAACCCTGTCGTGATCTTCCCGTCACTGACCGTAACAACGGTCACATCGTGAGACGTCTCGTGGGATTGGGACCGAGCGTGCCCCCTGCAGGTGAGCCGAACCAGAACGTGATCGTGTGGATGGACCACCGGGCCGTCAAGGAGGCGGAGCACATCAACCGGCTAGGACACGCCGTGTTAGACGGCGTCGGCGGCACCATTTCGCCCGAGATGCAGACGCCGAAGCTACTCTGGCTAAAGAAGCACATGCCGGACACGTGCTGGAAGAAGGCCGGTATGTTCATGGACCTGCCAGACTTCCTGACGTGGAAGGCGACGGGCTCCACGACCAGGTGCGTGTCTCTTCGCCGCGGAAGAAAGCGCGGGCAGTGCGGGACCCACCCTGTGGCAGCTGACGTTTCCTTTTTTTCTAGAGTATCCGTGGCAGTCTTGAGTATGTCAGAGGTGATTTTGCCTCACATGTGACCAGTTTGCTGGAAGAAACAGAAAACGTGTGTTTTTTTTTTTTAGGAAAACAGCCTTGTCTAAAAAAATGCATGCATTAGAGCACTGTTCCGTACCGCGGGCTGGAAGTGCTGGGTTCGGACCTAGCTGCCGGTGTAATATTTCATGTCGTCGCGGCAATGGTATGAAGGGCCGATTGCTGCGGCGACATGAAATATCCAACATTTGGAATATGCTGTGACATGTTACTCGACTGTTATGACATCGTTGTGTCGCACTGGGTTTAGGAGTCTTATTTAAGTTATTGTTTATCACGGTTGGACGCACCTTGGCATTTCTTAGAGTGGCTGAAAAGTCAAAGGACGTTCGGTGGTTACTGAGATAAAGGTCATGCTTTTCTGTCACGAGAGGTACCATGCAGCTTTGATATTCACAATTCTGGCAATAAAATAAGACTGTATAAGCTATATCATGTATTCATGCGGTTAATCTCCCAAACCTGGCTGTACCTGGACCACAAGGAGATGTTCGTGAGTCGCGGTCAGCGTGCTGGATGTGTCGGTGACGTCACGTGTCTCCGACCTTTGCCCAGGTCACTCTGCACGTTGGTATGTAAGTGGACGTATCAAGCGGACGGTGTGGAGGCCGGATGGAGCAAGTCCTACTTTGAGCAGATCGGTCTCGGTGACCTGGCGGAGGAGGGGTGGAAGCGGATAGGTCAGTCCAGGGGCAACAGGTATGGAGTTGCCCGCCCTCGGCGGCCGCAACCGAAAGACGTATATGTTATGCATCGCTTAATTATCTTCATTGGGTGCTTAGGTTTGGCGTTACTGAAACGGAGTGTTGCGAGGGGTAAAGATCACTGCATTTCTCGTGGTCTTTTGACGGAACTGAGGCATTCCGGGTGTTGTGACTCCGAGCATCGGGCCTATTTTCCTGTCTGTAGCGGGTGTGCTGCGGCCGGCAGGGACGGTGGTGTCTGCTGTGACTCCGAGTATGGAGCCTGTTGTCCTGTCTGTAGCGGGTGTGCTGCGGCCGGCAGAGACGGCGGTGCCTGCTGTGACCCCGAGTATGGAGCCTGTTCTCCTGTCTGTAGCGGGTGTGGCGCGGCCGGCAGGGACGGCGGCGTCTGCTGTGACTCCGAGATGGGGCCTGTTGTCCTGTCTGTAGCGGGTGTGGTACGGTCGGCAGGGACGGAGGTGGCGGCACCCGGCTCGCCGCTGGGCAGTGGCGTCAGCGCTGAGGCGGCCGCCCAGCTGGGCGTGCCGGCCGGTACGCCGGTCGCAGCGGCGCTCATTGACGCGCACGCCGGCGGACTGGGTCTGGTGGCCTGCCAAGACCACGTCACAGACCCTTGCAACAGGCTAGGTGGGCGACTTGTAACATGGTTGGGGAGCGGAGTTCAGACCAGCTGCGTGTAGCGCGTCATAGCTACGCGCGGGCAGCCGCGGTACAGGCCACATCTCATCGGATCACAAACCCAGCGGGATCGCATCTTTGTAAGGATCGTGAATTGCTCCCGCAGCTTATTTTGAACTCAACAAAAGCCATTAATTTCATTTTCACGGACACGTCTTAAAGGTTGGTTACTATTGACCAACTCGCGGGCTATTAATACGTCTCTGTTGTTTAGTTTATATGGATATGGATTATTGCCTCCCTGCCGTGACCGCCGTCGACCGCCGTGACTTCGGCCCGGCCGGTGGTTACCGCCCGTCCGGTCGGTGACCGCTGCTTGTCCGGAGTGGAGACCACCGCCTGCTTGACCGGTGATCGCCACCTGTCCGGCCGGTGATCGTCGCCTGTCCGGTCGGTGGTCGCCGCCTGTCCGGCCGGTGGTCGTCGCCTGTCCGGCCGGTGATCGTCGCCTGTCTGACCGGCAGGCATCATCTGCGGCACGTCCTCCTGCTTCATGGCGGTCAGTCGGCAGCCTTGTCACGTGCCTGGTGTGTGGGGCCCCTACTGGAGTGCCATGCTGCCGGACCTCTGGCTCAGCGAGGGAGGCCAGAGCGCCTCCGGCAAACTGCTCGAGGCGCTGCTAGAGGCGCACCCGGCCGGCCGTGCTGCGCGCCCCTCCGACAGGTACGGCCCGGGCGGCTGGAAGGGTCAGGTGTGAGAGGCGCCTTCCGGTTGTGTTTGGCCTGGAGGGCCCGCCCGTTGGTCAGCTCTTGGCAGGCCGTGTCCTATAAGAACTGGCCATGTCTGCGTCTGGGTGTATCAGTGTATGTGTGGTAGTGGCAGCTGTCGGTTGTCGGCACGCCGTTCCGGTTGCTCCGACACCACGGCCCCGTCCCGAACGTGCTAGGCTTCAGCGTTGCTGCGGACGGGGTCCTGGACGACCACTTTGTGCACGAAACGAGACTGGAAACGCATGTGAAGTCCGAGTGACCGACTCGACGATCAGGATGAGCTCTGCGGCATGTGCCACCGGCACGCACCACCCTGATACGAACGACTCACGCTCACTGGAAACATGATGACTTATGGTGATGGTGCCGGGAATCCGCAACGTGGTTTGTCGGATCATGCACACTCTGAAGTTTCTTGTTGATATAATCCTTCCATAAAAGGTAGCTCATGTATAAACGAAGCATTTGATGTGCTTGGGTATCGGTTTCAGTGCAGCTGTACTTGTGGTTTATCTGATTGCACTGGCTTTGAAAAGTCGTGTGCTTTTGACATCACGCTTCCCATCCCCGTGTCATACGTAAGGTACAGTGGCGCAGCCGTGTTCTACTGACGCGGCAGGTGCATTCAGGACGAGCTGGAGGAGACCCTGGTGAAAATGGCGGCGGAGGAGGGCGCGAATGACGTGGCCCTGCTGGCGAGTGACCTACACGTGTACCCGGACTACCATGGCAACCGGTCCCCGTACGCCGACCCGACGCTGAGGGGCATGGTCAGTAGCTGAGACCTTCGCGCCGCGCACTGCCGGCGTTTGCGCCTCCTGGTCCTGTGGCGTGTGGAGCATGAGCTGTCTGCAGTCTGGGGCAGACATCTGGCCGCAGTGCTCTCAGAGCGCCGAGTTCAGTGGCCGGTCTCGATCGTGGATCAGAGCCGTGGGCGTGCCCCAGCCCGTGCGACACAACCCCAGCCGGCCGGCTCGGAACGAGCTCTCGTGTGACGTTAGCCACCGCCCGCGCGCCGACCTTACCAGACGTGCTGTACCGCCCAGTTGGTGTGACGTTACGGGGGCCTGGTGCCTCCTTTGAACATCGTGCAGCAACTGGTGTATTTGTTTCGCAGAGTGGATAGACTTCGCTTTACAATGACATGTTCACAGATGTCATACATCGTGGCATAAGCCCTCGGCGCATCCAAGGCACGCGGGCAGCTGGGGGCCACGTTCCCGATATGGTGCGTAGTGTGGTATCGATGCGATGTGGTTTGTGAATTGTGATGCTTCAAAGACTCGCATCACTGTCCCGCCACTCCTCGCTCGTTCGTACCTGGATGCGCCCGTGCTGTGTGATTGTGACGTCACGCGTTTTGGTGGGCCAGGTGAGCGGCGTGACGCTGGACGCCGGCCTGAGCAGCCTGGCGCGACACTACCTGGCCACCATCCAGGCCATCTGTGTACGTACGGCCGGCACCGCGGCCCGCAGCCCCTCGGTGGGCGGGTGGGCTGGCTCGTACCTCCTCCGCGGGCGGGCGAGCTCGGTCAGCGAGCGGTCACTAGCGGGAGGCGCATGAGGATGCACGCCGGGTTGTGAACCTCGCACTTCCTTGAGCTCGTGTGCTGAGAACAGCCGACCTTTATCCTGCCTGGCGGTGCTGGTGAAACGAAGACATCAGGCAATCATTAGATATAAAACGGGCATTAACCGGGCTTTTCAGCGGCACACGACTGACTGGAGAAGGTAGATTTGACCCCCTTGCTTATCTCAAAACCGGCCGGGCCGACACAAAATCAGTTGCAATTGATAACGCCGTGGCGCATGGTCTCAGACCACGCAACACACTTAAAAAGTTTAAGTGTGTGTTAAAATCACTGGTTAAGATAGAATTGTGGAAATGTTACTTTAGGATATCCGATAGTTAATAGCTTTGGAATATCTGACGGTTGTCCACAGCGCATTTCATCTAGACGCGTACCTCATGGTGTGAGGTGGCCTCATGAAACACGCCACGTAGGAATGTATCCGATGTTACGCGCGCCGTATCAAGCCCATAGGCGACGTCACGTGCCCTGGAAATGAGAGCCGCAACCTTGGTTTGTGCGTTCGTCTTGGCCTATTTATTTCCGTCAGGTTTGAGCCATTTGAACGCGATGTGGGAGGGCTTAGCGGCACTTATAGGTATCAGACACGTGGGGAAGAGCTGTAACGTGATCATAAACCGTCTTAAGTCAAGGTGAAAGGGATGACACTGGTGGTAAATAAGCAGTTAAATCGATTTTCGTGTTGTTTTCGATGGTTCATCTCAGTCCTGCTGACAGCGCAACCTGACACCTTTCAACCTCACCGCCAGTCACGTGGTCGTCAGTTTGCGTGTGAAACTGATACAGGGCTTCCGCCACTCTGTCACGGTGCCGCTGCGGCAGACCTGAAGCCCGCCGCGGACCCGGGCACACCCGGGCACGGGCGAGATGCGCTGCGAGGCGTTTCAGGGCACAATTCAGTCATGGTTGCAGACAATCGCTTGAAACTTGTTACAGACATCCTTCATAGTCTTATTTGGGACACGTTCTTTCATTTTGTCATTTCGAGTCTAAGAACAAAAAATGTTAGGTATATTTTTGGCTAAATGTTTTTGCCAGTTGACGTGCCAATGTTTCAGTGTGCAGTGTTGCAGCAATACAATGACAAATAGTATGAATGATGAACTAATTGGCTCATATTTTTCGTTTGCAGATATGCAAAATGTTCTTTGTGCCACTTCTGTGCCAATCCGTCCACGGCTATGCGCTTTTTCATTCCATGCGCTTGATCTGTTATGGTTTCATAGATGTGTTCAGGGTGCAAGGTGTAGAACTTATCAGTGGACAGCTATTAAACTTTTGCAACGATATCTCAAAGCGGTTTTTAATCATCGTCAGTGTTGGACAGGGGGCAGTTTGCTCCTCCCGGTCAGTGCCGGATGAAGGGACCAAGCATCACTCCTAGCAGAGCTCGTGGGAGTCGCTATGAGCACGGCTGGAAGCGTCGAACATTACCATACTACATAGCAACCACTGCTTGTTGTCTCCCTTTCACCAGTTCTACCGCATATTGAAGCTTAGTTGATCGTAGTACGAGAACCCACAATGCCAAATATCCAGGAGCTTACAGTCGTCCTTGCTTGTGCACAGAACGACACTTGCTGACACTGTGTGCCGCGCTGACGCCGCCGCTGTACCCATCTGAGCATGACCCGCGTACTGCGTGAGCCGCGCGCCATCTGGTGCCCAACCCGGCCCGACCGAGCGGCGTGTCCGTCTTGCAGTACGGCTCGCGCTGTATCGTGGAGGCGCTGACGTCTGGTGGTCACCGGATCTCGTCGGTGTTCGTGTGCGGCGGCATCACGAAGTCGGCGCTCTTCGTACAGACGCTGGCCGATGTGCTCGGTATGTGTGCGGGCCGGCGTGCCGGCGGGGCACGGGCGTGGCACTTGCCCAGTGAATACGGCCCAGGCACATCCGACATAAACACTCTTCATGATGGATGTTCCTGTGGCATGTAAATAAATATGCCCACGTTCATGTGCACTTACATCCGCGACACATGCGTGGTACGTGCTCGGTACATGCTCGTGACGTGCGCGGTACGCGATGAGTTGTCGCTGGTGCCTGCTTGGTACCTGTTCAACGGATGTATGGCACATGCGCTGTACATGTTCAATCCGGCTCACCTCCGTCACCGCAGTGGCCGCGCCGAGCTCGCTGCTGCTGGAGCTCACTGCTGCTTGATTACAGACCGCGCGTTGTTGACGTAGCCGTCGAGGGCGGCTGGCCCTGTCACCGTTTCCATGGCGACAGGCGTGCCGGTAATCTGTCCGGACCAGCCGGAGGCGGTGCTGCTGGGCGCGGCCATGCTGGGCGCCGTCGCCTCCGGGCTGACCCTGGACGAAGTCAGGGCGCAAATGGGCGGCCCGGGCCGGCGCGTGGCGGCGCGACCTCAGCTCGCCAGGTGGGTGGGTACGCCGCGCGCAGTGTGCTGTGGTGGCCGGCTGGGCCTGGCTGGGCCTGGCTGGGCGGCCGCGCTCCCCACCGCCGCTCGTGGGGTACCCGGCGGGATATGATCTTACGCAATACAGTGGCTACGCGTTGCGATGAGAGCAAGACCTGTGGATATGTTTTACGAGACATAATGCTGATATCATTTTACGACGGAGTGTGGTTGTTCCGATTCTAGGATGGTTAGTTCTAGTTGATCATCGCTAATACGTTCACATGTGTAAAGTTAGACTAAAGGCAGCTTATCTTCCAGATTCCATGAAGGCAAGTACAAAGTGATGCAGATGATGCGCCAACATCAACTGTCCTACAGGAGTATGATGGAAGACGCCGTTGCTGTCACTGCTGATTAAGTTGACGCCATGCTGCGACGTCAACAGGGATATGCGATATCATGGTAGCCTGGGTCTAGACTATTCAACTGGATAACGTGTTAAAGGATGCGGGCTCCTCATTTTTGTACGGTTGTTTACTCAGTGCAGTAATATTTTATACATGTGCGTATGGTTGCTTCCGAAGCCGTACAATGGCCAATCTCTTGGAATGCGTTCTGAGTTTGACTGGAGTATTGCCCACCGCTGCACCAGGCGGTGTGGGAGACGGGGGGAGATGTGACTGCGGTGTGGTGTGGCCTGGGTTTGTACTAACAATATCAAAGCGGGTAATATACTGCGGATCACGCGTGTTTTCGTTATACACGCACATTTCACGCGTGACTCTAGAGTGCCTCCCGGGACCAGCTGATGCCGAGTCGGTCTTAGCGTTTGCTTGGCGTGTGTGCTTTCCGCGGGTGTGCTCCAGCCCGCAGTCTGTCGAGGATGGCACGGGGCATGAAGCATGCACAGTAGGATGCGTCATCGGGGGTTGAATATCTTGAAGTCAACTGTGACAAAGTTTTTCATTGGCACACGGATTAATGATACACTTTCAGGTCTGTCGCACCGCACCAATGTTGATTTTCGTGGAGCGAGAGGAGTTTTTCCGTGATGCGCCAAAAACGTATTCGGTACTAACGCCAACTATTTTACGCACTGGAGTCATCCTCCAGCGTGTCTCAAACTTGTGGCTTTCCACACTACTAGTATTTGGTGGATTACGTATGAAATAGATATCATGAAGAGTGCCGGCAAAACGCTGCCAAACGGCTTTTAAGCTCCCTTTTAATTAAAGAACATTAATTTTTGGTAAAACCCAAAGCTGTGCAGTTATGAGAATGCTCCAGCAGACCGAGGTAGGCCCAAGTTTGCGATCGTTAACACATTGTGATGTTGATTTGCAATTTATATGCTTGCTGTGGGGCACCATGGGTTTATTAGTTTATTTTTGCTAATACTGAGACATTTCTTTTGATAAATTACTCGTATAAGCATGCCGAAGGCTACGCGGTCGCGCACAAAACATTTTGTGATAGGCCACCCGGCTCCACTAGTCGGCTGCAGACGCTTCGATGGCAAATTCCAGGCCGCCTCTCCGCCAAACACAAGCCACCAATTGCACGCGTTCTCCGCCAATCAACAGCCAGAACTAGTACTGGGCCCGATGTAACCCGCAAATCACATCCCGCAAATTTGAGTCGCCAGCGAACTGGCACCTCCAATCCGCAGTGAGCATCGCTGCCAAGTTATAAGATGTTCATGCCGAGCGAAGCTCAGCCATTATCAATTTCATTATACGGTCAGGTGCCGGTCATGATGAGAACTCACGCGGGCATTCGGCCTTATCCGTCATCCGTCAATTTCAATCATTATCATTTATCATTATCATTTATTCATTATTTTTTCATTATTATATATTATCATTCACATTAATTCATATCATATTCATTATTCATATTATATCATTATGCAATCATTATCATTTATTTATCATTATCATATCATATCAAAAAATCATTATCTTTCGTCAATATCGTCGGCTCTGGACATACGCTCCTTGTATTTAGCCGGGGGCGAAGCCTAGCCGGTATCTACGAGTTGTCCGGATGTGATGTGAACCACGTCGCGTAGAAGAGCCTACCTCGAAACAAAAATAGCCGGACTCCAACCACCTTGTTTCGGGTGGCTTGGTATTCTTCGTTTTACCTGTATGTGTCTCAAGGTGTAACTGAAATAGAGAACGCAATTCTACCGGTATTTATATGATAGTGCATGCCACATATCTGCACCAATAGAAGTCAGCGGCATTGTTATCCCCGCCTGGTCCTCTAATTGTTGGCACGTGGCCGCTGTGGCATCCCCTCCCCCCGCACCAACCTTCACCACAGATTGAGTCAGGGGCGGATCCAGAGGGAGTGGTCACGGGGCCCATGACCCATCGTGGTACCCCGAAGTGGCCCATAGGCCCCGAAGGGGCCCGTAGGTGACCAAACAGGTACAGTTTTTTAACACAAAACACAAAAAAGTCTTTGGGTTTCCAGGCCACCGAGGAGAGTTGCAAACGAAAGTGAGCGGCCTACGAGAAAAGATAAAAATCTTCAATAATGGAAAAAGGTGTTTATTGGAAATTATAAGTATTATCACGCTGTCCAGAGTCCTATCATGTTTCCGGGGACCTATATGCCCACTTGCAAGGTCATTTCGATCGTTAAAGAACCTTCCACGTTAGCCCTGACTGCTTTGCGTTTGCTCGGAGGGCCCTGCACTGTTGTTGTGCTGTTCCTGCTAGTGTGCCCGGGCGCTGTTGTCAATCAGAGGCCTTCCACGGATTCTTTCCAGTCGCCAGACAGGCTCTGTGGGCTATTGCAGGGGACCCCCATGTTAACTCGCTCGGGTATTCTCGGTGGCTCGAGGGCCCTTTACGTTGGTTTCGGTTCACCTACCGACACACTTGCGATATGCTCATGGGCCCTCTGCATTCGTCTAGGGCGCTTCCAATTTTATGTCACTTGCTTAGGGCCCTATGCTCTTGTCGGGAGCTCATCTGTTAACCTGCTTATGCACACTCTGTCGGTCGCGGCCCCCGAAACTGGGTCCAGGGTGCTTTCCATTTGAATGTAGGGCCCTGCACACTTGTGGGGGCCCCATCTGTTAACCTGCTCCAGCACACTGAATTGTTTAGGGGCCCGGCACATTGGGTATTTTAATGTACGGACCTACGCTCTTGTCAATGCCATCTGATAGCCTGCTCAGATACACTCGATCTTTCGGGGACCCTCTACATTGGGCCTTGGGGAATCCCTATTTGAATGGAGGCCCTGCGCACTTGTCTGGGGTCCCCCCTGTTAACTTCTTTGGCCAAAGTGGATTGTCCGGGAGCCCTGCACATTGAGTCTCGGCGTTTGAATTTAGGGCTCTGCGCTCATATCGGGGGCATATGATGACCTGTTCGGGTACACTCCATCTTTTGGGGGCCCTCCGCACTGGGTTTTGGGCACTTGGTGCTTCAATGGAGGGACCTACGCCCTGCTTTTGTTGCGGCCCCTTCTGATAAGCTGCTGCGGTGCATCCTATTGTTGGGTGACCTCTACGTTGGGTCTTGGATACTTGCTTTTTGAGTGGAGGTCTTCACGGGGCCCTATCTGTTAACATTCTCAGGCACCCTCGATCATTCGGAGCCCTCTACAACGTGCCGTGGGTATTTCACATTTGAATGGACGGCCCTACACTCTTGTCGGCGGCCCCATCTGTTCACCATCTTTGAATTTAGGGCGCTGCACTCCTGTCCGGGGCCGTCTGGTAATCTGCTAGGGTACACTCCATATTTCGGGGGCCCTCTGCACAGGGTTTGGATACTTCCTATTTGAATGGAGGGCCTAACGCTCTTTTTGGGCATCTTCTGATAAGCTGTTGAGGTGCATTTCATCGTTCGGGGGCCATCTGCGTTGGGTATTGAGTGGTTCCTATTTGAATGGAGGGCCCTACGCTCTTGTTAGAAGCTCTATCTGTTAGACGTTCGGACACACTTTATCTTTCGGGGCCCCTCTTTATTGGGTCTTGAGGACTTTCTTTTGAATGGAGGTCCCTGGGCTCTTGACGGGGGCCCGATGTAATAACCTGCTCGGGAACTGGCCACGCGCTCATGTCGCCCCCCCCCCCCCCCCATATGCTACCTCCTCGGGCACACTCGATAAGGAGCTAAATAACTATCTAGTTAAATATATTGTCTCGAAGCATAAGTGTCCGGGGTGCGATGGGTGTCATATATGCATGCCTGGGTTTTAAGGGGTTTGCGCGAGAAGAAACATGGTTTACGAATTCAAGCGTAAACTGCGCGAAAAACATGGGAAGTACATGGGCTATGTTGAGAAGTCCATGCGTCCTACTCGTTTCATTTGTGATGAACACCTGCGAGATGCTCAAAACGAAACGGATGATAAAACGAACTCTTCGGCGACCGTCTTTTTGACAGAACACGCTAAGGTTAAAATCCAAGGAAGTACGGACCATTTCCCTTTAGAGCTCAAAGGTATCTTCAAAGTACGCGACCATCTAGACAGGAAAAATGGTGAACCTATTTTTATAAGAAGCTGGCGACCAGACTTCAGTGTACAGGACTCGTCATGAACGATTATTTGAATGTGACTAGTGTCTTGATGTGTTATGCATGCTGGCTTAAAATCGCCTTCATGTATCACTGTTGTCTGACGCTTGATACACGATGCCTGTTTAATTAAAATCGTTTGCGTGTAAAAGTGATGCGTGATGCGACGTGCCTGTTAACTTGAAATCACTTGCAGAGGTAAATGATGTGTTATGTGTGACGCCTGTTAACTTGAACTCATTTGCATATGCAGGTATTTTTCGCGCATTTTAATTCTCAGTTAGATGTCCACTGTATCGCAGAAATGACTGGCAATTGCTCCTTGTTTGATACCCTGCATGTTGGTGGTCTGTAAAAACTGTGTCTAGCTGGTTTTTTTTTTAAGGAAAAACCGAAACGTCGAGTAAAATCGGCAGATAAATTTGAATTTGCTATTCTTTTCGATAAACGCATGTAGCCGGAATATCACATTTATCTTCCCATTTTCCTCTTTCTTCTTTGAGAAATAAAGTGATTAATGTTGTTGTATCTATACGCATAATGTTCCTCACAAATGCACTTTACAATTTGCGAAGCGCTGCCATCATGTGGATAATGATGGCGGCATGCCTTCTACATAACAGTTTAAGCGTAATATCAAGATTTTGTCCGGTCACTAAGGTCAGTCTAGACCAAAGTCATGCCATAACGCCTGGTCGACTTCAGTTACAACTGCGTTGGGAGCTATGGCTAAATGCCTATCCTGTAAGTGAATCGTGTGCAGGGTTGATGTGTGGTCGTATATGCAACTCCTGCAACGGGAAGAGCGTTCATTGCAATTGTCGATGGATGGGACGGCCAGCATCGTCTCGCATAGGATTGCGTCGCCGAAGACTCGCCCCGCAGTAGAGTTTCTCTGTTGCCGGCGCAGTATCCCATGCCTGCCGCCGTCAGCAACTACAAAGCCCGCCCCTACAAACTCGAATTCAGTTAGTAGCCTGTGCCAGGGAACTCAGTTGAAATCGCCGGGCGTGACAGGGTCCGATACCTGCCAGTCAAACACGCGATTTCAAACAGCAAAACCAATGTGATGCAGATGACTTCGTGGACTGGAACATATATCAATTTGGTGTTTGGGAGTTGCCCTGTCGCCTACGCCATCTTTTTTCCTTTCTCCTCTCCTTCTTACCTTTCCGCCCACTTCCCCTAATCCCTGAGTCCCCCCCCCCCCCGCCGAATTCGCCGAATGTCACCAGCTTTGGCGCGGTGGCTGAGCGAATCGAAGAGGAATCTCACTAATACCATCTCAAGACCACACCGGCAGAAATCCGAAAACTGTGGACAAACGTAGCCATCCCTGTCCATGATCTAAATTACGTCACAAAATTGATCGAGGGCGATTGATATAATTCCAACAGAGCTATCAGCAAGAAATCAAAGAAAGACAGTAACACGGCAACGCCGTCACCGCGAAATTCAATAAGCTTCTCGATGTCGCGAAATGCGAGTGCAAGTCTCAGCGCAGCTTTGCATGCCCAGTTGTCTGCACAGTGTATCAAGAAGAGGCTGCCTTGAAGGACCAGTGCATGCGCCGGAAGCTTACCCTGGGGTCATATGACCGGGATACGACTGTGACTAGGGAGGCTCGCGAGGTGCGGAAGATGGCTAGACAACCGCTGGGGCGTCATGGCTCGGTCGCCAGTGGGGCGGTGTCTGCTGCTGAACCTGAGTCGCCCTCCCCGCCGACTGCTGAGCCCGCGCCGCCTGCTAAACCAGTCCTGACTGCTAGTGCTGAACTCAAGCCTGCTCCGGGACCAAGTGGTCTCAGCGCTGGCGACTCAGCCGAGAACACAGATTCCTGCACGGTTCCGCATATGGTAGAAGGTGGCGACTTCTTTTGTAGAACGTTGATTGTTCGTTCCTGTTGAAACCACTGTCACTGTAGATTGTAACGTTAACAATCTGACTAACACCGCTCAGGCGGCTGACAGCTACGGTGGCTCGAACCGGGCCGCTGCCGCTATCGTCAATGCCTTTCAACAAGACGGCAGAGACGGACTGGCTACATGAAACCAAATGTTATAGATCTTAACAAGACATGCTGGTTCGTCAAAATGCAGGAGCAATCCACGAATCAGGTTTGACCATCCTCGACTCCGACAGCCGCGAAGGCAGGAGCTACATGAGTCGCACGGAGCCAAGCGAATGCCTTCGAAAAACGCGTGGTTGTCTTCGCTGAGCCAGGCAGCCGCTACGTGAATCATTTTACGTCCGAGTTCGGCCGCGGCCGCAACTTTCTCAGCGAGCTACACTCCGTGAGCCTGCATTACGACGATCATATCAGTGTGCTCGGCTGCGATGGCACGGCCGTCAACACCGAGACGATAAGCGACGTGTTCCGGCTGCTTGAGCTGGCCACCGAGTCACCCGTGCAATGGTTCATCTGCCAGCTGCACGGCAACGAGCTGAATCTCCTCCATCTGCTGCTGAGCTTGAACGGCACGACCACGGGGTTGATTTTTTGGGGCCCATCAGCAAGACCTGCGCCGAAGAGGTTTGGGAGAGAGAGAGGGATGTTGTGACATTCAGGCCTATGCCGAAGCACGTGCCAAACCTGCCGGTAGACCTGATTCAGCAACTGAGCACCAACTAGCAGCTGCTCCACCTTCCGGCCTCCGGCGTTCAAAACGGCCCTGTCCGAAACGTGGCACCCCAGCGGCGAATCGGACCTCGAACCATGCCAGGTAAATATGACAAAGCATTTTCTTCGAATTTATAGCAATGAGTGTTTAAACTTCATCTAGTATCAAACGATATTTCATGTGCTCACTGTTGAAAATTTGCTTTTTATCATACCTTGCGCCGCATTATGTCGTATCATCTGCTCGTTGGTTCATGTTTACTAGTATATTTGTATATATATATATATATATATATACATATATATATATTCCGTCACATTTAAGGGCTCTGAATATTGGCATAATTACATGCACTTCAGAGGCGCAATAATTTGTGTATGATTTAATGCCCAGTTCGTAATAACTTGTTCCAATATATTCGCTTTTGCTTCCAGATGGTTGACACTGGCCGCTCGCCTGCTCCTAGTATACATCTCTATCAGCTCTCCATCTCCACATCTCTCCATCAGCGCCCTCGAGGGCCTCGCCCAGTGCGTGGTCGACCACTATGTGACGGCATGGTCCGCCGTCCGGCAGAACAGCAGCTGCGACTTTTGCTTTCGCAACTTGTTCCGGAGCATTGCGCTGCCCACCGAGCTGCCGCAGCAAACGTAGGCCACGGTGCAGCCAGTCCTCCAGCGTTACGGGTACTAGGTCACTCCGAAACAGCGCTGCTGGACATGGTGTGGTATGAGAACCGCATGGTCCGCGAACAGGTGGTTCCAATCGTCGCGCCGCTCGTGAGCAGCAAACCGAGGGTCTTCTTCTGCCCAGGGTCTCCGCCATCTCAGATTTAAACGTCGAGGCCGTGAGATACACCAACTTGATTCCCCTGGCACGGACCAGTTACAGCCTCCACTGCGAGACCCAGCTAATGCGAGCTGCGGAACAAAGTGCAGGCTCCACTGGCAATCTCGCCCTATCTGGTTCACACAAGGGGTGCAACCAGCACCGCACCGCCGAGGACGACTGGGCCTGGAGTTGGAGCTTCGACAATATGTGGAACCCAGTTTCGACGGTATTTCTGTTATCTGCGATCTCCGCCAACGCGCGTTTTGAGACTCGTCTGTGAGCAGCTGCTGTTTGGGCCGGTGCATCGAATACGCAGGCTTGCCAAGGAGCAAGATGTGCGTGGGGTCACCCTAACCCCCCCCCCCCCCCCCCCTCTCTGCGCCCGCGGTACAGGCCGCAGAACTTGCCATATGTGTTAAGTTGTACACCGGACAGTGTATTCTGAGTCATATGCTATGCATGGTTTTGTTTGCATCATGTGAGTTGTCTTAGAAAAGCGAAAGTCTAAAGCAATACTAAGCAGCATACTCGTACGAGTTCGTACTCCACAGCATATAAAGTTTCTGCCATAGGGCGATCAATTGGACAATGTCTGATCCGCACATTAGACCCTAGACCAGCACATTCTCGTACGACGGCTCAAGGAGCGCTCGATAGCATTGTTTCCATGCGCAGAAGTATTTTGTATCGCTTACCGCCCGGAGCTTGATGTTACCTGCGACAGCGGGCGCCGCCCAGTATAGAATGACTGCAATGCCGTGTGTCGGTTTATGGCGTTATCTCGATCGGCTCGCGCATCACGAATTTAAGTTTTTGGGAAGAACTTTTGCTATGCCGTGTACTTTTGGACTCCTGCGCCAAAGAATTTCCTTGTCTCACTTGGTTTTGTTACTGATGACGCACCCTAGTGCACATCATGAAAAGTTAAACTTACGTCTAGAATTTAAACTTGTCACTGAACTCACTATAAGTTGTAACTTCAAACGTGTGATGCCTTTTTGTCTAATACCATCACGATAACCGGGCGCTCTTCAACTAAAACCCAGCATTTTGCGCGCATACGTGTGTGTGCCAAGCAAACTTGTGTTTCATTATCGGATATGATTACCGGAGAGATAATAAACGTTGAATAATTTTCCCTGGAGCGAACGCGCCCTATACCCTGCGGCTTTTAGCACAGATTGGTACTTAATACCGGTCTACTCTTAGTAAAAATTAGTACTAAATATGCTCTAGGGTAAGTTGGCCGACTGCCGCAAAGTAGTGCCGTGTTGTCTGTGCGCTCTTTTTAAGATGCTTGAAACAATAGCGCCATTTTTGTAGCGAGCTTGGTCCGTAGACCATTTGGGGAGGTGTAGGGACACTGCCGATCATGTCAAATTAAATAGGAGATTACGCCTCTGGTCCTGGATCGAACATATCAAGGTGGGTATGATGTTGCCAAAACATCATAGTGACGCGTGGCGTATCAATCACAACGTTGCACGGATGTGCTCTGGGGAATTGTGTAGCAGGTGCGGTATACAGGCTTTAAAGCATTTGTTTCTATCTGCTCCGCAGTTGTCAAAGGTGCAGGATGTACGAATAATACGTATGTTGAAATGGTGGAACAAACATTTTTGTCACAGTTAAGAAGCCAGTGACTTTCAAGACTCCATGCTGCTGATTTATAATGCTTGTTGGCAGTCACTGAAATATGCCAGTGCCCAGTATTTGCTGTCAGCTGTTACCTAAGATTTATCCCACAGTGACAGTTGTGTACATGGTGCAAATTCACCAGGAATATCTTGTGCCCAGTATGTCTCACAATTTGGAATTTTTCCCACTCTTCAGGGGGAAAAACCAAATTTCAGGTGCGGATTTTGCTTTCATGTGAACTTAACTGAATTTATATATACAAATCAACACCCCGGATGAAGCCTGATACCTTCAGAATAGCAAGTTCTTGATTTTGTATATTTGTGGTTGTGTTTATCAATGTGGCTAGTCAGTGCTTTGCATTTGCTGTCACTTCTTCCACACAATGTTCCCACAGTGTCAGCTGTGTGCACAGTGCATGTTTCCTGGGGATATGTTTTGTTCTCACTTGAAGCCTCATTCACACAATTTTTCACTCCAGAAGGGCTAAAGCCTCTTATCACACACTGCTTGGAGGATTGGCAGAGTGCCTGCAATGTTTGCTGCTAAGATGTAATGTTATAAAGCAAACTGCCTCCATCCCACAGCCATGGCTGACATACATATGGAGCAGACCTATGAAAAGCAGCTGCCAGCAGAGGTCAGCAGCATGGTCTGGTCACCAAAGATGGATCTCATAGCCTTCTCTCTGGCAAGTGGTAAGGGAATTCACCAGTAGAAGTGGAAGTTGTGGCTCTGCATCAAGTGACATGTGGTGTATGGTCTGTATTTGATACACTCTGGCTCTGTATCAGACAATGCTGCATTTGGATGGTATTTCAGGTGGCATGATTAGAACACAATATTATCATTTTTTGAAGTGGCTCAGTTATTGTGCATTAATGATGCAGATGGCACATATATCAACAGAGATGTTGTTCTGTGTGTGTATGGTCCATTTTTCAGATGGTGTGGCTCTTTACCACATGATGTTACACTGTGTGTTCATGTTTCAGGTTGTGTGACTGCAGAGGATGACATTACACTGTATGTTCATGTTTCAGGCTGTATGGCTCTGTACTGGATGCCTTTACACTGTATGTCCATGTTTCAGGTTGTGTGGCTTTGTACTGGATGATGTTACACAGCATGTTCATGTTTCAGGTTGTGTGGCTATGTACTGCATGATGTTACACTGTATGCTCATGTTTCAGGTGGCTGGATCTATACTGTGTGATGTCACACTGTATTTTCATATTTCAGGTTGTGTGGCTCTGTACTGTATGATGTTACACTGTATGTTCATGTTTCAGGTTGTGTGACTCTGTACTGGATGATGTTATGCTGTACATTCATGTTTCAGGTTGTGTGGCTCTGTACTGTATGACAATACACTGTATTATCATGTTTCAGGTGGTGTGGCCCTGTACCGGATGACCCTACACCGTGTGTGGTCTGTGGACCCACCTGAAGAAGGTGTGTCGGTCAGCGCCCTCTGCTGGCGACCCGACGGCCGAGTGCTGGCCGTGGCATACACATCAGGTCAGTGACGTCGGGCCAAGCACTGCAAAGACTAGCGGCCTTGTGTCCTCTGGCTCTGTCCAGTTATGTCCAGCAACTGTGTGGGTCATGAAAACCCAAAGAGAATGCCGCTGACCGCGCTCGTGCCTGCTGGCGGCAGGCCTGCTGTCGTATCTGGACCTGGAGAGTGGCGAGACGGTGCACTCGGAGACGTTCGCGACCGTGGCCGTCTGCCTCAGCTGGGCTCAACGGCAGGAGCCGGCGCCAGACCCGCCTGATGGGAAGGTACGGCCGCCGCCCCCGACCCGGGCACGGCCGGGGAAGTGGCGGAGGAGGCCCGATATGTGCCGCTTCCTCCGAGGTGGCCGACGTCGAGTGCGCCGCTGATCACAGTAGGCTGGATAGATGCCGCTCCCTCCGGGTCAACCGACGTCGCGGACGCCGCTGATCAGAGTAGGCCGGATAGATGCCGCTCTCTCGGGATCGGCCGACGTCGAATGCGCCGCTGATCAGAATAGGCCGGATAGATGCTGCTCCCTCCGGGTCGGCCGACGTCGAGTACGCCGCTGATCATAGTAGGCCGGATAGATGCCGCTCCCTCCGGACCGGCCGACGTCGAATGCGCCGCTGATCAGAATAGGCCGGATAGATGCTGCTCCCTCCGGGTCGGCCGACGTCGAGTGCGCCGCTGATCAGAGTATGCCGGATAGATGCCTTTCCCTCCGGACCGGCCGACGTCGAGTGCGCCGCTGATCCGAGGAGGCCGGATAGATGTCGCTCCCTCCGGGTCGGCTGACGTCGAGTGCGCCGCTGATCAGAGTAGGCCGGATAGATGCCGCTCCCTCCGGACCGGCCGACGTCGAGTGCGCCGCTGATCAGAGTAGGCCGGATAGATGCCGCTCCCTCCAGGTCGGCCGACGTCAGGTGCGCCACTGATCCAGTGCCACCCATCCAATACTTTCTGAAGGCAAAAAAGCTCATCTTTGAACTGAAGATCTATTTGTGTCTTGTGGTACTAATATGCAGAAGTTGGGGCTTTCAGCTATTTTTCTTATAAGCGCAGTATAATTTAGTGATTATCACCGACCAATGGTTGGTCGAGCAGGTTCTCCTTCACGACAACCACGTCAGTTTCGTAATGGTTTAAGTTTTCCTTTGTCCTGTATTTCAGACAGAAGGCGAGGAGGACTCGTTTGACGAAGATGAAGACTTCCTGCCGCCGCTGCCCTCGCTCAGCAAACAGTACGGATCCGCGAACAGACACAGCGAGGAGGACCCACAGGACGTGCAGGGTATTGCCGACATGAAGTCTCTCACCGTTCTGGCCGTGGGTAAGACAATGCAGCTGGTGTCCTAGTTAATCGGGCTGTACGAGTATGCACCCAGCACGTGGTTGTGCCGAGCTGACTGTTCGTCTGTAACTGTCCGGCCTCCTCAGGCATATCGGGCAGATATTGTTATAGAACATTTGATTGACGCGGCCTGAGTCCTGCCTCAGGGACATGTAATACTAAGGATACCTTGTGTGAGACCCGTCGCCGGGGCCGGAACAGCCGTGTGACCCTGTACCGGATCCGGCGTCTGACCCGGGGCGACTACAGGCACGCAGGACGGCCAGGTGACGCTGCTGCTGCACGGTCTGCTGGTGTTCGGCCGGCACAGCTGCGGCGCTGGCGTCGCGCCACGCGCCATGGCCTTCTCGGCCGATCTGGCCCGCCTGATGGTGCTCTGCAGCGAGCAGGACGAGCCGGCCGCCGCCGCCGCTGCCGCCGCTGCCGCCGAGCCGTCGGCCGGCACCGCAGGTGGGAGGGCACCGGCGGGGACAGCGTCCCCCCGCTGCGGTCGGCGTGGGGAGGGAGGGAGCGCCAGCGGCGTACCCGGGGTGCAGCAGAAAGCCCGCTGCTAGGGGTGTCAGTCACGGGATGGGATCCCCAGACTTAGTCAATTATCCCGGGTTTCATAGCCATCCAATCCCGGTAATGGATATTAATAAAAAATACGTTAACATTTTAATTTTTTATTTGTCGCTTGTAATTTTGATAACTTTGTTTAAACCTCGAGAGCAGTGTGTTGTAAGATGGCAACTCCGGAGGGCAAGACTGCAGGTGTAGAGGAAGGTAGGCTTTTCGTTGGGCTGGCATTGGCGCGAAAAAGGCCAAGTGCCATGCTGCATGAACTGGGGATGTTTAAGCTGAGTGGACCTTATGCTGTCATAGCGGAGGGCGGCGACGCGCGGCTGCTGGAACCAGATCTGCCGGTGCTAAGCGAGCCGTCTGAGCAGCCGATCCTGTTACAGCAGAGGGCGGCGAGGCGTGGCTGCTGGAGCTGGACCTGTCGGTGCTGAGCGAGTCGTCTGAGCAGCCGATCCTGTTACAGCGGAGGGCGGCGAGGCGTGGCTGCTCGAGCTGGACCTGTCGGTGCTGAGCGAGTCTTCTGAGCAGCTGCGGCAGCTGGCCACGCTGTATGGCAGAATCACCAGCCACCTGCTGTACCTGGACCGCACCATCCAGGCCATCTGCGAGGCCTGGGAGACAGTGCTAGTCGAGATGGACTCGAAGATGGAGCGGTTTCAGGTGAGAGCCACTGGCGCGGAGGCGCAGCCCGGGCTCGCCTGTACATGCAGAGGCGCAGCCCGGGCGCGGCTGTACACGCCTGTGGGCTGTTACCATATTGTTTGTTGTTTAGATGTATACTGGCTTAGGCCGGCCTTGGTTTCCTTGGTGGCCGCTGCACAGTAAAGAACGGCATTTTTGTCTTTTGATGTGTTTTACGTGTTGTTTTGTAAAATCTTGTTTTTGTGATGTGTTTTACTTGTTGCTTTGTAAAACCAGATTGGTATCATGCTCTGCACAAAATATCACTTTATAGTTTACACACGATGCTTTTTGAGTAGCAAGGTAGCGATTTTTCTTGTGAAAGCCCATGCGTCTAAGTTCCAGTTTTTCGGCATAGCAGTCATTGAACTTTGGATTAGTGTTCTACACATCTGATTAATTAATGCTCTACTCGTGCCGAGCTGCTAGCAGCTAGGTATCAGATAACCTGCTTATGCCTCCTCGTGCTGCTCAGGCGTTGGTTGAGCTTCGCGCCTTCTTTATCGGGCCCGTCGCACGCGACTGCCGATCCGTGGAGGCAGGGCGCTGACCGCCGACTCCTCCGGTGTCCTCCCCCCCCCCCCCTCCCTGCCGGTCCCTGACTCCTCCCTACCTGTGATTCCTTCCCCAGCTGTGACTCCTTTCCCTTCCACCTTTGGCTCTTCCTCTCGCCCGTGACTCTCCCCCACCCGCAACTCCCCCTCCCCGGCTGTGACTCCGGCTACCCTGGTTCGGCCTTCAGGCGTCTCTGGGCGAGAACAGCTCGCTGTCGGTGGAGTTCCTGGAGCTGATGATGTTCGGTGTGCCGTCGCCGGAGATGGAGCAGTTCCTGCTCAGCGACCTGACCGACACGGGTCTGAAGAAGCTGCGCCACTCGATCGAGCTCAGCTACACCAACATACAGAGCCTGGTGTTGCGCCACCTGCAGTCGGTCGGCCTGCGCATCGCCGACCAGCTGGACCAGGTGAGCGCCGGGCGGCCCACGACTCGGTCGTCGTCAGGGGGCGGAGGAGGGAGCGGCGTCCAGGCCGGTGGTCCGATCGGCTCTCCCGGGCAGGGCGTGGATGTACAGCTGCATCGAGTTCAGTGTGTGCACGCAGCGCGGCACGGATTGCGATCCCAAGTGCCGGCAGGCTGCCGCTCCACATGCCCATCGATTGCAAGCCTTTTTGGTCTCGTAACTAATGGATGTGCTCGAGGTAGTGTAGATTTTGGACCAGCGGGCTCGATACGTGCTCGCACTTCCACAGGTGTGTTGGACGCATGACGTCATGACGTTCGCAATGGGACGTGCTCGCGCGGGACCCTTGCGCCGGGCTGACTCGATCTGGCCGAGGGTGGCGCGCCGGCCGCACTAACACCGCTCCCGGCCGCCAGGTGGCGGGCATGGCGCGTCACACGGAGCGGTTCGGCCACCTGGGTCTGAGCGGCGCGCGCGTGGCGGCGGCCCAGCAGGCGGCCGCCCTCTTCCTGATCAAGGCCACCGAACTGCAGCAGGTGATCGACAGCTCGACGCGCAACTTCAAGGCCTTCTTTCGCTGGCTGTACGTGGTGATGCTGCGTCTGGCCGAGGTGGCTGTACCGCCCGACTACGCCAAAGTATCGCAGAAGGAGCTCTCCTTCATCGCCGAGTTCATTGACACGAACCTGGGCGACAGCGTCACGGCGCGCGGCGTCCACCTGGAGCGCGTTGGCATGTACCTGCGCAGCGCCGAACTTGAGACGCCGCCCGCGCACGAGCGCAACGCCTGGCGCCGCCTGCTGGTGGACAGCGCCGAGCTGGCCGCCACGCCCGGTGTGGTGGCGCCCACGAATGGCGCTCGCTCGCTGCTGCAGGAGCGCGACGCGCTGCGGCGCGCCATCGCGCAGCTGTTCGCCGACACGGACGCAGCCGGCGCGCGCACGCTTCGCGCGGCCGCGCCGGCGTCGCTCGGCCGCAGCGGTGGCCGACTGGCGGCCGTGTCAGCGGTGGCGCCGGCCGAGCCGGCTGCCTTCCTGGCCGTACTGGCAGACGAGCGCTCAGCGCGCCTGACGCTGGCGGCGGGTGGCGGAGGCGCGGCGCCGCCGACGCCGCTCCACCTGTCGCTGGCCGAGCTGCTGCCGGCGCTGGGTCTGCCGTCACCGGCCGCCGCCGCGCCATGCCTCCGCCAGCTCCAGTTTTTCTCGGGGTCGGTGCTGTCGGCGCTGGTGACTGACGCTGGGCCGCCGGCCTACCTGCAGCTGGACGTGGCGGCCCTGCTGGGCGGCACGGGGCCGGCTGCATGCGGCGCCGCCCGCCAGCTGGAGAACATCGCCCCCGTCCGGCTAGCCGTCAGCGGTGCGCGTAACCTGGTGGCGGTGCTGTTCAAGGGCGGCCGGCGCGCGCGCGTTTACGACACGGCCGACGGCGAGGCGGAGGAGAGCACACTCGACACCACGCACGGTTCGGGCGGCGAGCTGATGGACGACAACAAGGAGAATCTTCTGTGAGCGAGGTCGGAACTAGGCTGGCGCGCCGCCCTTGTGAGAGGCGCCCGGTCGGTGGAAGGCGTGCTGAGAAGTGATATTTTCTTTGTGTGTATTTTTGTAGGCAGTGAGTGCTGCCAAATGAAATACAGGTGCTATGCTGTCCTTTGTCGCCTCGACGTATGGCTGCATCAATGGCAACGGTTCAAACCGCTGATTTATGGACAATTCAAGCTTAGGGAAGAGTGTCACGCTTCTGGAAGATGTTGAAAAATATATAACGAAGTGAAATTCTGACCACTATTGCTATACAGTGCGCCGTATCCCTGGAGGGCTATAATAATGGACAGTCTTGCAGCCTGCGAAATAGATTGAGACTAATTTTGCTTAAGACAAAACAATCGAATGCAGCAACAATCCTGTTACATCGGGTGCGTTTTGGAAACTTTTACGGTTCGATCCCTGTAGCACCACATGCCAGTCTCAACCTGAGGACTTGAAAGGCGGCACCGAGACATTAATTGGAATTCCTATGTTGCGGACAATAAGTGGAAGATTCCTGTGGGAGACCATCGTTAGCCATCCTGTGGGAGACCATCGTTAGCCATCCTGTGGGAGACCATCGTTAGCCATCCTGTGGGAGACCATCGTTAGCCATCCTGTGGGAGACCATCGAGAGCAGCACTCTTGCTCCAAGACTGACAACCTGACAGGTGCTTGAGTACCAGGCGCATATGCTAATGACTTCTTGAAACTGCAGGTGCACCGTGCGTTATTCGCGCCGACAGTAGCCCAGCCGACGGAGTTATCTAGAAGGGCATCCTACCTGTACACCTTTTTGGTTGGCATGCCATCCGACGGCACCGCTCATACGGGATCGCATGAAGGTGCACCGGCGTCGACGGCGCCTTCTGAACCCCTCATCTTGACATGTTCGGTGGAGGACCCTCCGGAGGCGCTTCATGAGGGGGCGCACTGCGTTTACTGACGGCTCGTTGACCAGATGAGATGGCATTCGACCAGCAGCCATGACTCACGTGGGCCACACCGAAAACTAGCCAGCGTAACTGCTGCCCAGCGTAACAAAAGATTCACCGTTGCAAATGTTCCCACAGCGTTAGCCAGCATTGGTGTAAACTGTGTGAATGAGGAAGCTGTGGAGTTAGTTTACTCTAGCGGAGTAAACAGCAGAGTGCTCAGGAGCCTTACTGGCATTGACTTCACATTGCCCGCGGTGACCCTTAGCCACCAAGACTGTCACTGGGCGTCGCCCCCCCCCCCCTCCCCCACCAAGTAACATTTGCGCATGTGTTGATGAGGAGGCCAGGGAGTTTAAGTTTGCGGCCACCCCTCACGAGGCTTGCTCGGCATTGACTTTGCATTACCCACGGCCATCAGAAGCTTAGCTCATCTGGGTTCCCCAACCGACGCATGCGTACAGCTGCGCCCCCACGTGCAGATGGGCAACACAGACATCGCGGCGCTGGCCGTGGTTAGCCAGTCACGCTAGAGATAATAGGCTGCAATCACGATCGCCGGATCATGACCGGTGAGCTTCAGAGCAGCTTTGATCGACGCTGCCATAGCACGCGCGGACCGGGGCCGATCTCGGCTTGGCCGTAACGACACGCACCCGCCCGCCCGCGTGGGCGTGTTGGAAGACTGCACCCTCGTCTGGAGTCCGGGCGCCGACCACCTGTCACGCCGCACTGCCTGTCCCCCGCCAGCTCCAGCTCCGCCGGCTCACGCCTCACGCCCCACTTGTAGGCACCCCCACAGGGCCGCCCATCGCTCACCCGCTCGCACTCACAGGCGCGGCGAGAATTCACTGAATCCGTGTATTGGCAATCGTAAATGTTCTAATCAAACATGTCACAATAACATTATCAAAGTCAAGCAGTCCGCCGGTTGAGTGTCGAGGGCCGGGGCGTACTTCAGCTTGCCTGCGCGGCCGTTAGATGCCGGGTCGGTCGCCTACTTGCGTGGCAGGTTGTATTTGACGTAGGGCACGTCCAGGTCCTCGCCTTCCGTGTCGTTGCAGACCATCTCCAGCACCAGCGCGCGCACGTGCGGCTCGATCTCCTTCTTGGAGACGGTGCGCACCACATCCGACATCTTCATGGCCATCCGCTCGGTCCGCTTGGCCGGCGGCATGAAGAACGAGTACAGCATCGACACGTTCTGGCTCAGCATAGAGATCTCCAGCTTGTGCTTCTCCTGGAAGTAGTCGATGAACTCCTTGAGGGTCATCTCGCCGTCGATGTCGAAGCGGTCCCAGAGTGTCCACTCATGGTCGTAGTACTTGTTCCGCGGACACGGGATCGGCTCGCTGAACGCGATGAACGGCAGCGCCAGGTTGGCGAACGCGTTCTTGTACAGCTCCAGCTTGGTGTGTCCCTGCGCCAACTTGATGAGCTCGAGGCAGACGAGGCCGGACACCATCGAGGTGGTGGTGGCGATGGCCGGGATGATCCTGCCAGCGATCCGCTTCGTCTCGTGCCGGTCGGCCGGCGCGATTTCGTAGTTCTCGGCGCGCAGGTTCGAGCAGGCCACCACGAAGTCGATGTGGAAGTTGGTGTCGTCGTCCTTCTCGAACTCGGCGGGCGTGACGGAGAGCGGGCGCAGCTCGGCCGGCGGCGGCAGCTCGGCGCGCAGCCGCTGCAGCACGTCGCCGTCCAGCTGGCCGGTCAGCGCCTCGGCCTCGGCCTCGGTGGTGGCGATGCGCACGCCCGACTGCGGCGTGAACTCCGGCACCTGCACCTGACGGACTAGCGCCACGACGGCGGCGCGGTCGCGACTCTGCGGCAGCCCGTACACGGCCGCCTTCAGGTTGGCCGCCGCCAGCACGTAGTCGACGTGCAGCGCGTTGCCGGCGTCAAACTCGATCGGGTGCGGACAGCGCTTGGGCGGCGACCAGAACGGCGTGCCGCTGCTGGTGACCTGGTCGGCAGGAAAGTTGAACAGCAGCTGGCGGATCTGGTTGCTGAACTGCTCCTGGAAGTGGCAGCGCGCCCAGGCCACACAGTCTTCGAACGAGCGCGGCCGCTCGTCCACCAGGCAGCGCTTCACCGCGTCCAGCGTGTCCAGCGGCTGCGAGCCGGGCAGCTTCAGCGCCTTCTCCACGAACTTGGGGTCGCTCAGGTAGAGTGACGCGCTCTCGGCGCTCACGCGGAACGAGCCCTCGAACATGTCGCGCGCCCACTGGATCGTGTGCTCGATGGCGTTGGGGAAGTTCTTGAGCGTGCAGATGGGAATGCTCTTCTCCTGGGGGTCCTGCGACGACGAGTACGACTCGGTGAGGTGCGGCAGCACCACCTGCACGTTGCCCTTGGTGCCGAGCGTGCCCGACTCCAGCAGCGGCTTGCGGTAGTAGACGCACCGGCGGTCCATGTACACGCGCGCCTGCACGTTGTCCAGCGCGTTGGCCACGCCGTCCAGCGCCTCGAAGAAGTCGTCGTCGAACACCGCCTCCGTCTCGGGGCCGACGCGGTCCAGCTTGTGCAGCACGTTGATCTGCGGCGCAGGGTCCGGTCAGCGGCGCGGCGGCACGTGACGTCGAGTCATCACGGCGAGCGGACGCGAGACCCGACGAGGAGCCGGGCACAGTCAGCTGGCCACGCTCATCGCATGACGCGAGGGGCGGCAACGCACAGAACGAATGACGCCGCGCCACTTGTCTGAATATGGCATGAAGCATCTGACACAGAACTGAAAGGCATTGTACGGGTGGCCTCAGGACACCGTGGCGCGGGCCCGAAAGGCCACAACTATTTTCGGTGCTAGGTCGATGCCGAACACATCGACCAGCAGGTTTCATCCACTCACCTTGGGGTTCATTTTCTTAACAGCCTCGGCAGCGCAGGCAGACTTGGGCTTGCCCACGTGCTCCTTGTGGAACAGGAACTGCCGATTCAGGTTGGACTTCTCGATCAGATCCATGTCGGTAAGTATCACGTGACCGGATCCTGGCAAGCGCAGAGAGCGAATGTAAGCGACATCGTAGGGCGGCGCCCATGCCACCAGCAATGGCAAGTCAAACGATATCAAAGCCAACAATACTCAAGAAAACGCGGCAATCCTTCTCATGAACTGCAATCTACGAGCATCTCAGAAACCTCTATCGCACATCGACATCCGACTCAGAAGCTCATGTCGTCGTGGCAGACTTAGCAGTGCACAGGTACGACATCTACCTCGGCCCTCACCAGCCACCACCCGCCACAGTCAGCCGAACAATAAGTCGCATCACCCCTACCGCCGGCGCCCCCTCCCCCCTACCCCTGCACCTTCCCCCTACCTGTGCCGACGCCGAGCATCGCCATGTTCTTGAGCAGCTCACAGCCGATGGCGCCGGCGCCAACCACGAAGAACTTGAGGTCGCCGAGCCGCTGCTGCAGGCGGTGCCCGAACACGGCCACCTGGCGGTCGTGGCGCGAGCCACGCGGCGCGCACTCCTCCTCCGTCAGCTGACTGCGGTCCTCGGGCAGACATTCAAGCGCGTCAAAGTACAGCCACTGGTTGATGGGCATGAACTTGCCGGAGCACGACTTCATCACCTCCTGCGCCACGATGCTGCCGATGACGCCGTTCACGGGGCACACGTCGCCGGCGCACACGCTGGCGAACACGCTCAGCAGCGGCTCGTCCAGCTCCTCCAGCCGCTCGCTCAGCTGGCCGTTGACCTCGGCGGCGAGCGCGACGAAAGCGCGCGCGTCGTCGGCCGACCACGGCGCCGGCGGCCGGCCGTGGCGCTTCTCGAACTCGTGCAGCGTCTGGAAGGCCAGGTGGTACTGGCCGGTGAGGTGCAGCTTGCCGAAGTCGGTCGGCACGGTCTCGGGCTGCTTGATGGCCTCGCGCAGCGGCTTGAAGGAGACCGTGACCGGCTGCTTGACCTGCGTCACCAGGCCGCCCGACACGTACTCGGAGTACGCCTCCGTGGAGCCGATGCTGAACGTGTAGGGGCCTGCCGGCGGGGCGCGCGCGCGCGGTCAGCATACGCGAAACTCCGAACGGAACATCAGCAAGGGGGCCGACGCCACGATCTGCCACGAACGGCGACCGGTGAGCACATCGGGGGAGTCATGATGATGATCACGTTTGGGGTTTTACGAGCGCAGCGACTACTTCCGAGAGCCAGCAAGCCACACACGCCAGGCCGGCCGGCAATACATCCACGCGTCGGCCTCAATGCAAATCCAAACATGGAGCGGCCCATTGGCGCCTCGTCACGTATCGACCCCGGCCCGACCGTGACGAGGCGGCGGCGCGCCTGGCGCGTGCCGTGTCGTCGCGGCCGGCGCGCCGAATCGACCTGGCATTCGCGACGGCGGTCATCGACGCCGCCGCACCTTGCCGAGTCGTCATGGAAACAGGTCGATAGGTGGCCTCTGGCCGTGCGAGGGAGCGTCGCCGAGCGCCGGCCGCCGCAGCCTCATGAACGCAATCACGCCCAGTCGCCGCCGCGCCGCCGGCCACAGTGGCTCACTCGGCACTAACGGCCGCGTGCGCGGCGTGGTGACGCCAGGTTGGCGGCGCAGCTCCGGGAGCACCTCCGCCGCTCCACACGCACGGGCGGACAGACTCGCGAGGGAGCCGCGACCGCCGCGTACGGCCGGCAGGCGCGGACACACACGACAAACGCAACACCCACCTGTAACCTTGATCTTGATGGGCGACGCGTCGTTGAGCTCGACCATGCCCTTGACCTCGGAGAAGGTGACGAGGTCGCCGTCCTCCAGGCCGTGGCGCGTCTCGTCCAGGCAGCTGACCGTGCCGTCGCGCGTGATGCCAGCCACCATGGCCGTCTGCGCGCTCTCGCCCGTGGCGTCGCGCACCACAAACTCGGGCCCGAAGTCGCAGAACACCTGGCCGAAGAGGCCGCGCGTGTCGGCGACGATCAGCGCCACGCCGTGGCGGCGGCACACCTCCGCGAGGCGCAGCTGCTCGTCCAGCGTGGCGCCGGTCAGCACGAGCGTGCTGAACTGGCGCAGCAGCGGCTCGTCAAGCTCGCCGGCGTGCACCTCCGTGTTCACGTACGGGTTGAGCTTGGCCAGCGGCACCAGGCTGGCGTCGGCGCGGCCGCGGCCCACGTCTGCCTCCGTGAGGAAGAACTGCGAGCCCAGGTCAGCCACCTCGACGGTGCCCGGGTCGTGCAGCGTCACGCGCTTCACGCCAGACAGGATCACGTTCTTAGCGATCTCGACGCCGAGGCCGCGCAGGCCCGAGATGAGGATGTTAGAGGCGGCCATGCGCTGCATGGCGTCGCGGCCGAGCACGTACAGCTGGCGCGAGTAGAGGCCCTCGTCCAGCTGGCCGTCGGCGCCGTCGCCGGACATGGCGCGTCCGCCGCCCGCCATCTGGCCGTTCCCCGAGCCGTTCTGAGCAGTCATCCCCTGTGGGCAGAGCGCAGATCACGCGGTCAGCGTCAGGGTCAGGGGCGGGTCACAAGGGGTCAGAACGGACACGCACGCACACGCCAGCGGCTCGCGTGCACGCACCTGTTCGGCGGTGCGCCTCGGTGACCGGCCGGCCAGGCGGTCAACAAGGACGTCGAAGCAGGAGGGGTCAACGGCGCCCTGCGGCAGGGGTCAGGCACCGAGGTCAGAGGTCAGGTCAGAGGTCACGCTTCAGGTCAGGCCACGGCCGACGGGCGGGGCCGGTCGGCTAGCGGAGGCCCCTGCGGCACGCTGAGGCACAAAGACATCAGCGGGCGCACAAAGGATGACCGGTGCATACCACGGCGAGGCTGGACAACACCCAGAAAGGTCAAGATCCCGACCACGCCACAAAAACCACGACAAAGCACAAGGCCCGCACGCCCCACGTCATCGCCGCCGCCGCCTGGACGCGCCACATCAACCATTCGCGCCAAATCCGCTGACTTATTTTCCCGCACTGCAGTTATGCAGGTCACCAGCGCAGCGCATTTACCACTAGCATCTGCAAGCTGCACTGAGCACAGGCCGGCGGACAGAAGCCAAGCGAGCCCCTGCCTGCTGAAGCGCGGAGTGAATCAGAGCGTGGACGGGGCAGCGCCTCTCCGCGGCAAGCTGCCGGTCACCGCCAGCCGGACGGGCGGCGCGACAGGGGCGCGGCCGGCAGCGGTCAGCCGGCGGCGAGGCGATGCCCCGGACACGGCCGCCGGCCAAGCAATCGATGCACTGGCCGCCGCTTCTGGGAACCGAGCCGCCGCCGCCACCGCCGCCGCCGTCGACGCAAGGCGTCTGGCGAACGCCGCCCCGCGAGGTCACCAGGTGTCGCCCCGCGGAGGCCTGCCGGCGCCGGCGGCAGCGCCAGGTCGGAGCCGGCGCTCACCGCGGCTGGCGGGTGACGCCAGCACCGGCGCAGACCGCGCGGAGACGCCCGCTGACCCACTTTCCGTCCAGCGGAGCAGACGGCCGGCCCGCGCAAACAGGCCCACGTGATTCACGTCAGGGTCGGCATCTTGGTACATTCAGGTCAGCCCTGCCCTCACCACAAAATACGAGCATACTGCAATTAATACTACCTACAAGTATCATATGACTTTACCCGCACGCTGCACTTCTTAGGCATCATAACATCATATCTTTTCTTACTATACGACGGCTTTAAGGGCCGAGAACCAGTTGGCGACCACCACGGGACCAGTGGTGTGCAGCGGCCCAACATCCACGTACCACCCATCGCGCCCGCGCATGGTGACGGTCTCGCTCGGACACCGATGCGCCACGCTCCCTCGCCCCGGTCCGGTACCGGCACGCCGGCGGACGCTCGACGGGGCGCCGCAAGGCGACCACACAAGAGGCAGCGCACGCCGCAGCGAAGGTCGATGCCAGTCCGCGGAGAGGGGGGGGGGGGGGGGGGGGCGTGCGGGGAAGCACCGGCGGCCGCGGATATGACTGACTCCCCCCCGAGTGCTACTGCGGCGAGGAGCTGGCCGCGTCAGCCGCGTCAACGACGGGAAACACCGGTCCCGAGCGGCGGTGCGACACATTCCGTGCCGTGCGTCCGGGTGCACGTGACGAGCTGCCAAGCGCGCGCCGCGCCGACAGCGGTGGCAGTGGCAGAGGCAGTGGGGAGGGGCGGGCGTTAACGGGCGGCCTGCCCCTCTGGCCGGAGCGGTGGGCGGTGCTGCGGACAGCGCGGGGTGAGCGTGCGTGCGCCACCCGCGACAGGCGTGAAGCGTCAGGCCAAATGCGGTGCGGCTTTACCTCCAGGCACGTGTCGGAGCCGTCCTTGGGCACCTTCTGTCCCGAGCAGGCGCCACCCATCTACGGGAACAGGACGTGTTAGGATAGGAGGCTACGGAAGTGAAGCGGCGAGCGAACGGCGCGGGGTACGATCACGCACCGGAGCTGCCAGTGGCCTCCACGTGGACGGCACGGTCCACCCTCGGGCTCCAGCAACTCAGCTATCTCAGCCCGCTCAGGTGAGAGCGGCACCGCATCCCGGTCTGTTCGGGTGGTAACCCAGCCGCGGGGTGCCGATCTGCTGCCGCGTAGCGCATGCCAGGGCCGGTTCTGCCCCGGTCCGTCCACTGCAGCGTCTCAGCCCGTGCAGGTCGCAGCAGCCGAAGCAGCGTGTCTCCCGGATCCATGTCGGCGTCCGTCAGGCCTGCATGCGGGTCACGAGGTTCGCCTGCGTCCGAGGACTGATGCCGTGGCTCGCTCGGCCGGCGCACTCGCCGATGAGGCCCGCCGGCTCCTGGCCGCTGCCATCGCCGCCATGGCGAACCCGGCGCCCGTCGTGAGACTGGCCCAGCTCGGCGCGGCGTCGGCGGGTCGGCGACCGGCGAACGGCGCCCGGCCGCGTGACGGCACGCCACGGTTCACAGGGGCACCTGCAGCGGGCCGGCGAGCGGGCGCGCCACGGCGGCGGGGGCGGCCGGCCCGGCGGCGCGCTCACTGCAGGCGCGCCAACGACAACACACGAGCGGTAGGGCCGCCGCCGCGGGACGAGGCCGCTTCACCGCCGCACGCGCCGCCCGCATGGGATGGCACGGCTCGTCCGCCCACGTCGGCACTCGCATGGGAATCGGCCGCGCGATACGGGTTCTAATGACACACCCGCGTCACGTGGCCGCGGCTGGTGCTACGGCCTGCGGAGCAACGAACTGCCCACCACCACGCGCTCGAGCCAGCTGGATTTCTCCAGGCATACATGTCGGGCTTTCCCACCAGCATTCGATAAGCACAGGGCGAAACGCAACTCGATATTGAGGACTCGTTAGCATGACTGAACGGGTTAAGCTTCGTATATCTGGATATAGCGCTGGGCAGAGGTCCAGTAAGCTCGTTTCGGAGGCGTTCCTCGCCCCTCTTTGTGCACAATCCAAGATTCAACACAAAAACGGCATCAGAACCCGCTGGCTGCCGCCAACCAGCCGCACCCCGCCATGTCACTAGGCAGAGCACACGTGCCGTCTTCTGCCGCTGACGGCACGGACAAAGCCGCGGCTGCGCCAGGGCGCCAGCTCCGCGCCGGCCGCTGCAGCCGCCGCCCCCGCAGTCAGTGGCCGCGTCACCACCGGGCGCGCGCGCGCGCTACAAAGGTGACCTTGCCCGCGTGCGCGGCGCGGCGCGGCGCGGCCGACGCACACGGGAGCAGCGGCCGCGTCGGCCGCGTCCAGCCGTGACGTCAGCCAGTGACCCCGCGGCCGGAAGCGGCGTCGGCCGCGTCGACCGCCGTTTTTGTGCCGCGGCAGAGGAGCGGCCGCCGCCGCCGCCGCCGCCGGCGCCTGGCGGCCGAACAAAGCGTGCCGCGGCGGACAAAGCGCGCCGGCCGGGCCGTCACCTGGCGGCCAGAAGGCCGGCAATGTCACCTGCGGACCGGACGGCGACGACCGCTGCGTCCGGCCGAGAGCTGACTACTCGGGCCGCCCCGCCCTGTGCGGTCTCTGCCGCGCAGAGCGCACCGGCGGCCACCGGCGCGGCGGGAGAGCGGCGACCCGCATCCAGCTGGCAGCCGGCCATCCAGCGGGACGGCTTCATTGGCGGCGGCGTGTGGCGGCGGCGGAGGCGGTGGCGCGCGCACATGCCACGCTGTAACGCATGGGTCGGCACGGCCGCTGCGCGCCCCCGGCCATTGTTCACCGTCGGACGGAGCCGCCGTGCGCGACCATACCAAGCGCTTGAGCGGATCACGGGTCATGACGCTGGCATCGCAAGTGCAGGCCTGCGCACAGCGACGGCGGCAGGACATGGAAGCGATCTGGACCGATCGGTCAGCTTTCCCCCCATCCAATGGGCCAATGGGTTGTGTCCACGAGTCGTGAATGTATCGATGTCAACGTGAGCACGCTTGAAGGTCACGGAAATCCCCAGCGCCTACCTGCTGATGCATGAGCGGCACCTCAGACACTCTTTGACCCAGCGACTGCCAGCTGACTGCCGCATACATCAGCCTTATCGAGATCTCCCGCTCGGCCAGGTACGCGAGCAAACCACCGCAACTGTCAGAGCGACGGCGCGACCGGCCACTGCCGCCATATGCGAGGCGCCGGCCGGCGGAGCGCGCCGGCCGCGGCGAGCTGCGCCCATCTGGCAGCCGGGCGGCCGGCGCGGCCCGTCTGGCACTGCCGCCAGAGGCCGGCCGGGCGCCACTCGCTCGAGTACGAGAGCGGCGCGTAGCGCGTGGGCCGGCCGATCAATACGGACGGACACGGGCGGCACGGCCGAGCCCGAGGCGCCGGGGCGCCGCACCGCGCCGCTGCGGGCAGCGTGGCCGGGCCCCGGCCGCAGTGGCCGACTCGGACCGTCCGGCACCAGTTTCCAACCGCTCGCGCTCCACACGGACGCGCGAGAGCGCGCCGGCAGGTCGGCTGCCCGACCGCGCGGCCGCGGACTAGCCCAACACGGCTCTGCTGACGGCTCGGCGGTGACGTCACCGCCGGCGGCTGACGGAAGCGGAGACGCCCTGGCCTGAGCCGGGCGGCGCGGCCAGCGATGGACACGGCGCTGAGACAGTGACATCCGCGCCGACGGGCCACGTCACTCGCCGCGCGGCCAGCGGCCGACAGACGCCCAGCAGGCGCGGCCTCAGCGGGCGGCCATTCTGCGACCGCACGGGTGCACAGGCCGCAATGGCGCGGGGAGGGAACAACGCCATGCGCCAACAGCGGTGCCGACCAGCCACGGCCGGCCAGCGAGACGGAGCGAGAGCGAGTCGTGGGCGGAAAGTGAGAGCGCGCCAACGGGCCGGCCCAGCCGGCCGGGCCGGATCCGCCGCTGGCGTCGGTGGTCGTGAGTCAGCGGCCCATATGACGTCACGGCCGCGGCCCAGTGACACCGGCCGAGCCCGCGGCGGCCGCGCTGGCACCGATGTGCCACGGCGCGACGCCACCGGCACGCCGGAGCCCAGCCCGACGCGGTCCGGCGCGCTGCGCCACGCGAGGGCCGACCGACGGAAAATGAAATCACGGTCTGCCGTCACGCCTGAGTCACCGCCCACGGCCGGCCGCCAGGAGACAAGCCGCCGGACGGGAGGCAATGAGACTGGGCACCCCCGGCGGCGTGCCCGGCCCGGGAGCCTGGCGCGGCTCGGGCGCGGGACGGACAGACTCACTCCGCTGCACGTCCCGACGTGCCGCAACACGCCGCCGATCGAGACGCCATCCTGGGCCGGGCCGCCGCGGACGTGACGTGACGGCAGCGAGGCCAGCCGGGCAGTCACGCCGAGCCGGGACCGAACCCTTCCCGGTACAGGGTAATGTCACGACGGACAGCAACACCGTGGCGCCAAGCCCTTGCCTGTCTTCCGTGGCACGGCCCGGTTCTGAACGGAGTGTGACGCTCATGGCTGGTCCGCCAGCCCGTCCGGCGGCGGACGGGACAGGGCGCAGTCGACGCCGGCGTAACGCCTGCGTCATCGCCGCCGCCGCCGCCGCCGCCGCACGCACGGCCGGCCACCAGCCAGCCGCGGCGCACCTGCGCGACGCCATCTTTAAACGCCGGCCGACCCAGTGAGCCGGGCCGGCGGCGCCCGGACGGCGACCTTTGGCCCGGCGCACCGGCCGCCGTGGGAGTCGTGCCGCCCCAGCCCGGTCAGGCCGCGGCGACCCCGCCGGATCGGCTACGTCGGTGGGAGGAGAGGGGGGGGGGGGGTGGCACGCGCCCCTATGGTCACTTCTCCGAGTGGCGCGGCGCCGCCGCAGGGTGTGTCCGATTGCAGCACGGTGTGACGACCCCATATCGGCCGCTTATCAGCGCGGGATGACCGGTTGCGTGCTCGGACTCTGAGCCAGCCACCGCGCGCAGCGGCGACGCCAGCAGACCGACCGGGCGACGGCCCAAAACGACTTCAGACGGCGGTAAGTGGATGAACTCCGCTTTTTGTCCCCATTCATTTCCACATGCATGCCTTGCACGGGCCGGCCCGACTCTTTGTTTCGCTCTTCAACTTCGCCGACGGCAGACGTTATCGCTCGCAGCGTGATAACGGCCCAATCTGACATGGTGACCCCGTCGGTCGAACGTCACGGCTCCCCGCGGACCAGCAGCCCCTCTCACCAAGCCAGCTGGCAGCAGTCGGAGCCGGCCCCGTCAGCGGTCACTCGGCTCATTCCAAGACATGCACACGTGACGGCCCGGTACCGTAACACGATTATCACGATCAACACACGGCCGAGGCGTACGGCGGCCAAATATTTACAGCCCGGCTGCGCCCCTTGAACCATGACTCTCTAGCGCCGGACAGGGCGACGTCACTGTCGGCCAGGGACGAGTCCAGCGGCCGGAGCTGGAGGCGAGGAGCTGGCCCGCTGCGCGCACCAGTCGACACGCCGCTGACCACCGCCAGCGTGCGCCGGTCGGCCGGACGGGCCAGCGGAGCGGAGCGCGGTCCGCTCGCCTCTGGCGCCCGGCTGGCGGCCGGGTCGGCCCAGCCGCGCATCACACAAAGCCGAAGCGGGTATGGCGGCGGCCGGCGCCGAGCGGGCGGCGTCCGGCGTCCGGCGGCCCCACACGGACCGGGCACGGCGGGCGCGGCGCGTCCGGCGGCGCCACAGAGAACGGCCGAGCGCGCCGCGCCGCGCCTCGCCTCGCCTCTCACCTTAGTCTATGTGCAGTCTACGCGCGCGGCCGGTGGCGTCACGTGGACGCGCGTGGCATGGCCGGTGGCGCGGCCGTGCTGCCGCGGCGGCGGCGCCTCTCCTCCGGTCTGCTCGACGTTCGGCGCGTCCGCTGTCGGTCCCGGTCCGCCCGCGCCGCCCCGCCAACATCGATCGACTGTTTACGCCGGCCGGGCGGCCGGCGGCCGGCTGGCAGCCGGCCAGATCTGGCATCGCGCTGCCAGGCGGTCGGCAGGGGCGGCGCCAGGGGCGCGGCGGCGGCGGCGGCTGACGTGGCGCCGCCGCGCCGCGCCGCGTAAACCGAGCCGGCCGCGGCCGCCGAAAATATCGGCCCGACCGGACCGCATCGACGCGGCGGCGAAGCGCCCGCGCGCTCAGAACGGAGGCGTCCAGAGCGGGCCACGGAGAGCCCGACGCTCCCACTCCGTGCCGACCGCAGCTGCTGCAGGGCGCTGGATTTACCCTCGGGCTGTTCCGCCGGGCATAGAAGCCTGCCGCGCCTTTGTTGCCCACACACAGCACGACGGAGTTTGGCGGACAACGGACATGAACTCATCATGACCCATTCAGAAGAACTGCCGCATTTCTTGACGAACAAAGCCCAGAACGGCGGCCGTCGGCCGACAAGAGCTTGCCATCCGGTCTGTCAAGCCTTCACTCGTATTTTATATAGGACTCTTTCTGAAAGGTCAACAGCCACTCGCAACGCAAACTGCATGCCTTCCGGTTGGATACTTTCGGTGAAGCATCCGAACAGTTGGGCTCTTCTCAACTATCTATCAACCATAAACAACCCCCGGGTCATTGACCAACATCGTGACACGTGACCAAGCGACACAAGTGTCACAAGCCGACCCGTCGCGCAGGGACCGCCTTGCCTCTTCCGTTTTCGTGACCACGAACGTCCGCCCACGCCCGTTACAGCCCTCAGAGGCGCCTCTCCCACTCGCCAATGTGCTCCGCCGCCGGACGCTGGACGTGCTCCCTGGCCCAAACACGTGCGCGGCCGGCACGCAGCGGCCCACCCGTCGCGCGTTACGCAGCGCGTCCCGTGGCATGCCACGTGCCGTCGCAGCGTGCCGTCGCAGGCCGGCGGACGACGACCAGGTCGGCGGGGGCTGCAGGTGATCGGCCTCACACCAACACCTGCTGACCAGCGCGCGGCGGTCGTCAGATCGACGGCACGACTACGCCACGGCGCCACCGGCACCCGCCGAGAGAGCTCGCCGCTACGAAATCCCACAAAGTCACGTCCAAAGTCGCCTGCACTGCGTGTTCAGGCCTAGAGACAAACGGCTGGTGACACGAGACCACTCGACTCGTGACACCGCAGCGAACCGCCCGTCCGCCCGCACTGCCCACGTCTCGCCGGCATGCGTCGGCTGCTGGGGCGCGAGTGCGAGTCAACGCCCCTGTCTGCGACTGGTGAGCCGCTCCGGGCTCGGCGCGCACGCGGCAGGGAAGGCACTACGACACGGACCATCCGCCAGCCCGGCGCCGTGGAGCCCGAGGCGACGGCGGCATCGCGCTCTTGTTCCTAGGTCACGGAGCGACGACGTCCGACGCTCGTCGTCGTCACACCCGGCGGATGTCACGTGGTATGCGTGCCAGCGAATGGCCTTCCCCCACCATAAGCCGATTGCCCTTGCCGAAATATGCGGCTCAAATATATTAATGTTTCTGTGGGGTGCGACAACGCTTTTTGGGATACAAATTTTCTTCTCAGTGTAAGACAAATAAAATCGGGAAGCCATTTAAGCACAGCCTTACACTCTTGAGGTCTTCGATACGTCAAAGCAGCTTTCAGAACTCCAGCCTAACCTTCTAAGGCATCTTCAAGGTCATAAGTTCAAAGTACTGTAGTTGTTACTTGACATGGTTCAAACACAGAGGATCATGTAGTACTGTGCAGATACAAATACCATGGTAAAAGATCGGACGATACACCTTTTAAACCTTTTTGAAGGTAAAAGCTGATAATGACTTACGAACAGAAGCGAAAGCGATTGGTGCAACCCATCGACGTCATCTATTCATCTCTGTATGGAGGCCTTTAAACAGAACTGCCGAGTGACCACAATACCGTAAGCATGATTGTCTTTGGCAAGAATCTGCCGTCTCTTGTGACGGCCCTCGAGCGTGCGTGCGTGCAATTATGCGCCACAGCACAATCAGCCGCGCGACGCCTCTCGGCACCAAACAGATGCAAACGCTGTCATTACGGTGGCACACAGGGCCACGTCATATGTCGGACCGCGACACCGGGCTGGTTACACATGGTTCATCTCCCACGCGACTACCACCGTCTCAATCATGACCGCCCGCTCCCGCCATTTGACACCACTCACTGTGCGCAAGCTGACGCGGCGGGCCTCCGGCTTCGAAGCGGAATCCGAAGCCCCAAGGCAATGTCATCCGACCAAAGTCCAAGCTGAAGCCAGAGGCTTCCTATTTTTAAAACGTGAAGCCAAATCTGGAGCCGGTGGTTTCGAACTCACCACACGCGGAGCCCAAATCACACTTTGAGCTTGAGAGATACGATATCAGTCATTCAATAAGTTTAAAATCACCAGACTGAAAACGAATCTGAAGCGTTGTTTTGCGAAACCAAAACGACCTTTGCGCCTAGTAGAACATCATCGGTTGATGTTAAACCTCATCAAAACCTCATCAGCAAACATCATCAGCTCTTTAAGAAGTTACTCAGATGGGGTGTTAGCATTACGGAAGTACGTTTTTTTTTCTCAAATATTATCCTGGCTTTGTGTGTTAGTACATGGACAACGTTTTGGAGAGTTAGTTTCTGTCTGTGCTTGTGTTCTGGCTGGTGCTTGGTTTTCAAAATGACCTGTTTTGATTTTCCACAAGCAAGCATCACAGCCTTGAAAATTGAGCCTCATAGAGAGGTGATGGGACGAACAAGACGTTTTGTGATATTAGATCACAACTGCAGGGAAAAAAACAATCACGACACAGCCGAAGTAACTTCAAAAACGCATAAAGCCACAATTCGCCACAATTCAAAACAAAATTTGAAGCCGAATGCGTAGCCGGAGCGAATTTTCCAAAATGGCACAGCGCCGAAGCCGAACCCGGCCGTTTAGAAATGGCGCGAAACCGAAGCCGCAACCCAATCCAACCGTGGACGATAGCTCACAGCCGAAGCCGAAACAATTCGAGGAAAACCGCGGTTTTACGAAGCCGAAGCAGGCTTTCCCCTTTGCCTGACTTCCAGAACGTCTCTCGCATAGAACCAGACGAAATCACTAGTACTGGCGACGGATAGGGGGCTGAGACTTCTACCTTGACCATACAAACCACCCCAGAAAGCCAACGCTCCGTACACGTTCATCGTGCAGAGCACTTTTTACCCGAGTATGTTCATGACACCACTCACACACCCCTTCTCACTCCCTGGCCGAGAGCACGTTCAAACGTGTGCACGGTTTTAATAACACCAAATAGAATTTGATTACGGATAAGCAATCATTTTTGAACAATCGTACATTTTCCAACCAAAAAACAGACCCCACGGCAAGGAAAATACAGAAATAAGTGTGACAAGGTATTACTGAACTGAACACCGTGCCAAAACATTTATGCCATGGTACGCGAAGAAGTATCATGTGGGTTTAAATGTGAACGGATCCATTCGCATATCATCCACGACGAGGGATGATGATGATGATGATGACTTGGGGTTTTAGAGCGCATCGACTGCTGTAGGTCATGCAACGCCACGAGGAAGGAGGCGTCACGGCAGGCGACAGTCCCGTGACCTCTGCGACGCGTGATAGGCCCGGCGACGAGCCCAGCTCAAGGACTGCGGCGAAACAGCCCCATACTCCGGCACGACACCCGAGCGGCGAGCAAGGGTCAGGAGAAGCCATTCCAATTCGGACAGGACCAATTCCAATGCTCACTGAAGTGCCGCCACTTCAAAAGGCCAAAGTGCGTTCTTAATGAGGAAACGTGACTGTCCTGTGGAGGATTAATTTGTCCTAAGATTTGGAATATCCTCAACTTAATGACTTCATCAACTGAGAAAGCATACTCACCAAGGTCAACAATCAAAGCCGTTTCATTGGGCGCGAACGACCTCTGGCCCCACGCCCGCCTGTCCAGTCAGTGTCCGCCCGGCCCGTGTGCGACCGTGTAACCGACGGTGCGCACCGCACGCGGCAGATGGCAGCACTCACCGTGCCGTCGGCGCTGTGCCCCGTCTTCGAGTCGGCAGTCGCGTGCAGGCGTCGCTTCTTGGCCGCCGGAGGGGAGACGCTAGAGCTCGGGACGCTGCTTGTTGCCGCCTCGGAGCCCGATCCGGACATCTATAGTCACTGTAGCCACACTGGACACGCAGCACTGGCTCCCTCCAGGATGGATGTGGACCTGGTGGCGCGCAGGTGCCGTCAGCCGGACACCAGTTCGGCGGACGTCAGCGTGTGCACTGGCTTCATGTCGGACATTTATCATGGCGCTGCGTGACTGGCGCCCAATGCGAAGCAATAGCACATCATATGGGACAGTGAAGGGTAGTTCAACAGCAGCTGCCTGTAATGCCCTCAACACAGCAGCTGCTCGTAAATAGCTTTTTAGACTTCTACAAATAAAAGCACACAAAAATAAATGCATGTAAAATGCTTTAATGTCTGATGATGTAAATAAGTATATCTTACACTTGCAACGCACTTTCTTTCTACACATTATTTTGAGGATCTTTCCAAAAAAGTTAGTTGACCACAGACATTACCAAATCACATGTAATATTTCACCCATGGACATATTCTGGGGCGACAACATAACATCCCCAGGGACTTGACATGTGAGCCGCAATAACAGAGATCCAGCTGGTGTGAAGTCATGTCATGACAGGCTTCACTAGCTTTGAACAACAGCTTGTATTTGCACTTTGCAGCTGTCCTCCCAACCATGTGACACATAAATGAGGAAGGTCCTCAGGGACATAGCAAAGAGAGGGGCTAGTGCCCTGCCTTTCCTGCTGCTGGAGTCAGGAGTTTAACCATACATATTGGGTGATTTGCAGACATTTGCTCCAAACTTGCAGGATTTTAAAAGGCATTAGTCCTCTCACCAGAAAAAAATTGGACAACATACCTCAGGAGCCATAACATGTGCGCATGCGACCCTGAGAACAATTTTTTACATCATTTCCTCTGAATAAACAGCATGCATCTCTGGCAATATGTTCTTAATGCACATGGGAATGAGCACCTTGCAAGATGACTGATTTTGGGCTCCTTGGCATCAGACTGGATGCAGAATGGAGTGGCACGACAATAAACCACTCTTGCATTGCCTCCTGACAACATCAACAGCTCTGACTCTAGCCAGATGCTCATATCCTCTGCACATCCCAATGCAATATCTTCAATATCAATGGTCACTGATCAATTCCCCTCTTGATCTACTGTGGCATGGCTACCATTTCTTAGTGTATCACACTGCTCAATGCTTTTACAATCAGCAGTACTAAACACACTTGAATGTACCAAAGCGCAACACTTGTTTGCTGATTGCCAGCAGCCTAAACACTGAATTCATAAAGTTTGACATGCCATGAAGATAACTGCTCACCAAGTAAAACTTAACAATGTTGACTTGAGCATTCACAATAGCATGTTTGACATTCTGACCTTGGAACTACAACTGTTCATCTTCACCACAATAAAATATTAAAAACTTTAAAAAATTCTAGAATGTCATGAAAAACTAGCAATTTTAGCCTAACTTCAAAGTCTAGCCTCATATCAAGTACCATCAAAGATCAACAACTCCAATAACTTGCTTAGAAGATCATGAAAAAATGGCATCTTGATTAATTCATAGCCAGTACCTAGGTGCATATGATCCATGAATCACAGCATCCCACCCTAATCCCCTGCAAAACTTACACCATGTGGCATCACTCATCAAGCCTGGCTGGTATGACCAGGGTCTGCACCCATTTTCATGGCATCCTCCAACTCAGCCAGTCTGTTATGAGCAGTGCCACGTGTTTACGGCGGGAACGAGCGTCATCACCCTTGTGACGACCCCAGGACCCGAAATTATGATAAATCCAGACCAAAGACTGGACAATTAGAACCAACAATGACTTATCAGCACACCACTCAAGGCCTACTGTGCATATGGGGCACTGCCATTGAGACAAAACACATGCGTGGGACCATTTACAGGTCAACCTGGACATCCTCACTGAAAATATCACATGTGAATGATATCAGACTCAAACCATCACAATGTGCATCAGTGGTATCTCCTCAAGTCATGCACTCAAGACAAGAAGGGGAGCACAGGAAAATTGCATGATTATTTTGTGCAGGCATCCACACATGTGCCATACCTGAATTATACATTAAGCACTTGGTGAATTAGCAGTCAACACTAGACAATCTAACTTGCTTTGTGGCCTGATAACAAATGTTCAGAACACTGACTTTTATGAAGTGAGCAGACAAAAAAACACACAGAGGTAATAAAGGTAATGAAGCAAAGGTAACATAATGGAACATAATAAAGGTAACATAGCAGGAGGCAATAAAGGTAATGAATGACTATGTGCAGGTTATCACTAATGATAAAGATAACTAACGATAATGATAAATGATAATGTAATGATAAAGGTAATGATTAATATTCATCTTCATTAGCCAAACAAGATAGACACATAGCAGAAGGCAATAAAGGTAATGAATTACCATATACAGGTTATCACTAAGGTAATGATAAAGGTAACAATTAATATTCAGCTTCATTAGCCAAATAAGATAGACAATCTGTTTTTGTGAGCACATTTTACTCCTTTACATTTAACACACATGGCTTTAGTGTACAAAATGTACACATATCTAAGCAGCAATGCTACTTTTGGACCTGGTGGTCAAGCATACAACACAATGCTGAGTGAGTGTAATTCTTTTCAGCTAGCATGCTTGCTGCACTTTCCAAGTCTGTTTAAATGAATGATGACCCCATCTTGACTGTGACTGCATGCCTAATCCTTTGACAACATTTCTGGATGGAGCTGGCTTTGTCCATTATATCTAACCTCGCCCTGATGGAGGTAATGGGAGGCCACGCATCTCTCGTGGTCTTCACAATTGTTTCTTTGTGGTAAAATCGTGCCAAAAAGTTCAGTGAACTCTGGAGCATTCTTTGCATGTGTTTTAACAACAATTATGTGTCTCCAGCTTTTTGGGTTTCAGATCAGGAGACCTTGTTGAAACATCGCGCGGCACAACAGCGGTGCGGGCGGCAGAGCGGACTCGGACGAACTTGTCCACTTTATTTGAATAAAATATCTTAAGAACAGATTGGCCACTTGAAACAAAGCTCCATATTGTGCAACATCTCCCCAGTGTGTAGATCAACACTCACATATGTATGTGTGACACTTATCCACGTACTTCACCCAGCCCGAGATCGCGCGATCGAACGGCCGTCGGCAGCCCGCCAAGCCGCCTACCTCCTGCGCCAGCACCGCTGCGTCCATGAAAGCCCTACAACAATACTTCACCCAGCCCGGGATCGCGCGATCGAACGGCCGTCGGCAGCCCGCCAAGCCGCCCACTTCCTGCGGCAGCACCTCTGCGTCCATGAAAGCCCTGCAACAATACTTCACCCAGCCCGGGATCGCGCGATCGAACGGCCGTCGGCAGCCCGCCAAGCCGCCTATTTCCTGCGACGGGATGACACGCTGCATCCATGGAAGCTCTACAACGACATTTACCGAAATCATTAAAAAGCCCGTCAGTTTCCTGCTAACTGAACAAGGCACAAGCCTTGCACCAACTGCACGTCGCGAAATTGCGATAAAAAGGTAAAAAGCTGCGGTATCGTAAATGCTGGTGTGAGAAACTGAACTATACCAATTTTTGGGAAAAATCCACCTTGCCCACCTTAAACAAGTCAATTATTGACCTATCAGTACACAAATTGCTTCTGAAATTGTAACTGATGACAAAATCTCTCTGAGGTCAATCCAATGCTTTTCCACTGAAATCTGTCATCCTAAGTTTGAAAATGACAGGGATATGAATTGACCTCGCTGTTTTATTAGCTTGTGTTACAAAAGTGACAACAGTGAATTCAGCTAATTCAATACACAACAGTGAATTTGGGCAAATGTAAATGCTTCCCACAATGGCCAACACCATTACTCCATATTGTAATGTCTCAGGTAAATCTATGCCAGAAATGGTTACCTGGTTGTTTTGCTGTTGTTCATTGGAGTTTTCAGGCATGTTGACTGCAGTGGTCACTTTGCCCCCATGGTTACCTGGTTGCAATTTACATGGAATTATAGCTGTGATCATCCCCATCTAGTGACATAGTATCTGAACTGCACTCTGCATCTATACCAACACACCAGACAAGGATGATTGCCAACACCATAATTCCAAACCTGGTGCATAATTTTTATCAGTGTAATGGCAGTCCTTGCAACTTGACAGCTACCACATTGTCACTGGCTTCTTGACCACTGACACAACTCCAATCTAATGCCAGAAATTCTGCCTGAGTGGCAACACACAGGATTGACTTTGAGCAGCTCAGACCAAGGCTGAGCTATGATCTGAACTTAGGGATATTTAGCTCATATTTGATATCAATTCAAGTGGAACCAACTCCATTTATAACACAGTAGATAGTCCACTATATTGGCTTTATAAAAGCCTACATGGGACACTGATTTGGCAACAACACAGTTGCATATGACCATACTCTACCAAGTGGAAATATACCCTGTTACTGGGATCTATACTTAGGCTAGCTCAGCACTGACTTTGTTCATCAAACCCAGACTCACAAAAGAAACAAAAAAGCAATTAATTTTACATTTACCCTATACAAAGTTAGTCTACTCCAGAGCTGCTTATTGCTTCACTCAGTCAGACACAACCTTGTCAGACACTCTATTGCAGGGAAATTATTATATACCTTACTCACTGCATTTGAACAAACCTACTTAAAATGGAATTAATTTTTTATAGCATTTTTATAAAATGTGAAGACAGATCATAAAACTGAGCCTTTACAGCCCAGATACATATTGGATTTTTGGGTTAAGCCCCTTAATTGAAGAACACAAGCTTTATCACATTAAATTTTGATTGACATGTTCTAAACACACCCTGTCAGGTACTATCATCTGAAAACTGACAGCACTGCTCAAATTAGTTTGATGTAGCACCTGATTTGAAAATTGTACTGTGACAGGGTGGGTTCTACTCACAAGTCAAGAGTGCTCCTCTGAGAAAGTGGATGGGCTGCAGTGGTAGAGGTTGATGCACAAATCAAGCAATTGGTGTGCTGAACCTTGCTTTCTCATGTGCTGAATTTTAGCATGACTAATTCATAAAATTTTATTTTTTGCATGAAAAAATGATTTTTTGAGCATACATACCTAAAATTAGTCTTGTAACATCATAATTCCTTGAAACATTTGGTCTCCTGGAATTGAAAATGATGGTGACTGTGCCATGAACCCTGATAGCTCAGATTTACAAAGTACACATGCTGCAATTGCTTCTCCAATGCCACGGCTACCCCAGACATGTTAAGAACATGTTTATGAGGTAGCACATATTTTTGGCATTCTGAGAATGCCCAATACATGCCTATTCTGGGTATTTATTCTTTGCATTGCACAGTCACATAACAAATCCTTCTTAGCATGACATCTGATCCCATAAATCCATACAACACATGCAGACTAAACCCAAATAAATAATGTAAAAATCCTAAGGATAACAAGATAAAAAATTCAGATGATGAAAATCAAGATGGCCATTCTTACAAACTTGCTGTCACCATAAAGGTAAAACCACAAATTATATTGTCAATCGATTACACATCTGCCTGTGACTTAAATAATGACAGCATATCAGGAAAATCCACGATAATTATAGCTCACCAAAGGTAGGCTACATAAATTGGAAGGACAAGCCCAGAATTGTTGATAAGTTGTGAGGAAATTGGAGTTGATGTGTCACATCCTATCAGTGTTTTCAAAAGCTGAGTTACTCAATATAGCAGAAAAATGCAAATGGTTGATGAGTTACTCACGCTCTTATTCCAACAAACGACGAATACTCTGGATCAAAACGAAGATGGGCACGTCCGGATTTCACGCCTCGGCCTGCAAAGAAAGGTATGTGGTTTAAAGCATGGACAAGAATCATTAGAACATGCCACCAGACAACGTCATTTCCGACATGCTTCTCACAAAAAAATCGTCGCAGAATGGAAATAGAGCAAAAAAAACCATCATCAATGCCACCCCATCCTTACCCCCGAAGCCGCTTCCAAAAAGGTCCCTCCGCGGGTGGCGTTGAGACGAATCCAAAGCAGTCGTTGCATGCTTCGAGCTCGAGGGCACGGTGCATGACACATTTGTGTTTTTCTTAGTATTTTACATATGACGTCATATACAATAAAACCTACCGATATTAAACAAAATTAAGTTATATGAGCTTAGGTTTCATCTTTTCCACTTTTATTAAAACAAGCAGCCAATAATTATGCTACTCAATAAAATAATACGTAATGGGACCAGCTATCCCAAGTATTACCCACCGGTCATCAAATCTCACCGTGATGGTCACGAACACTATGCACCATGAATGCGAACAGTGGTGGTTCCAGCCATTTACAATTTTTTGAACGTATGTTTTGGTGTGAGTTGCTGATGCTGTGGGTGGAGGTCTTGGACTCCGCGGGGGTGGCGCCGCGGATTTTCTTAGGATGAAAACAGAGTATTCACAGCCTGTCAGACCCCCAAATTCAGGTATGTCCTCTTCAGGTGGCACGTACAGATTCTAGCTGTCTGGGCTGAGGGCAGAGAGCGTGTAAACATGATATTGTCCTCTGGCATAGTAACTACCTGCATTCCGATAATTATAGTAACTACCCGCATTCCATTACACTGGACTTGGTTAAATTCAGTATTTTGGGTGAATATAGCAATATGAATATGGACAAATATGGACAATTCCATTTTTCCACTCCTTGGAATACTTAGTATTTGATTCATGGAAAGATAGGTTGTTCCTCATGATGGTCTTCTGAAGGCTTTGGGAAAGACTTTTGTACCTATCCTTCATCTCTTCTCAAAGGACTCTGACACATATGTGCATACCAGCATGTTAAAACAAACAAATAAGACCAAGGGATGACAAAATGATATGGATGATACAAACTTCTATAATTTTCTAAATAACATAGATGATTATAGAGGTGAAATGGAATAAAGTGGTGTAATCATTCTATATTGAAGTCAAGGGATCTTTCAAGTCATCAGCCTTATGTGCCAATAGCCATAGTGATTACACTTCTGCCGCTTAATGCTTTGTTGCATTTGTATTAGCAATTGCCACTGCAATGTGGTGAACATTATGATTTGAAGCTCACTTGTTATAATAAAGGAACACATCATTGTGCAGTGATTGTTGGTGTTGTTATTCCGAAGTAGTGGTTTTAAACAGAGCTCATTTTGTTGCATAGACATGCAATGCATACCTATGCAATGCATACCATTTTTTATCACTGATAATTCCATTAAGGTAAGGGATATGATACTCAGACATCAGATGTGTGCCATCTATCTCTGTGCTGTTGCTAATAAATATATTTAAGCGAAGGGTTGGTGACACATACTTTTTGTTGTAAGAACATAGAGTGCTGAGCACTTGGCTTCTGATTGTCACTGATTTTAGCTTTGTGCTGATGCTGTTTGTTTTGTGCAGGTCCTGAACTCATCCTGTCATGTTGTCATATTGCAGCAGCCTTGTTCTGCATGGTGCATGGTGCCTGACATTCATGCATAACTTTGTTTGCAGGGATGACACCACCTGAGGACAGGCTGCAGGAGGAGCAGGATCACCCCAGCATCCCAGTCCTGGGGTGTCGCTGGGGACTGGGTGAGGGCATCAGCCCTGCAGTGTTCAAGCCTATTCCAATTCCACCACATCTCCTGCATGAGCAGGTGAGTTGGCTTGATATCAGAGCAAGTGCCAGAGCATGATTTGCATGCTTTGTTTTAGAGGGGGAAGGTTTCCCTGCTCATTTGTTGCTGCAATATTCATTGTTGTTGAATGGTAATCCTCAAACTTAACATGCACAGACTTGTTCAGGGATGCAAACAAAAATCTAGCACTTATTTGACATGTATCATCTATATATCATCATCAATATATCATTATATATCATGTTATGATATGAAAAGCACTGCTGCACCTCACTTCATCAGCCATCAGCCTGGCACCATGCCCCATGACTGCCTGGGACCTGGTCCACTGTTGGTGTGCTCAATCCGACCAGTTCAAGCGACGCATGTACCCTGACAGGGCCAGCTGGAGCCTGGCGCGCCGCACGTGGGGTCGCGGCCGTGCCGCCGGCCTCACAAGCCATGACGACCCGCTGCCGTCGCCCGGCCGGCTGTCCAGCGTCGGCGTCACCGGCCTCCCCATCTGCGAGCAGATCAGCCGGGTGAGCTCCTGTCCCCTCTGGCTAAGCTCCTGCCCCCAGTCAGGTGAGCTCCTGCCCCCATTCCAGTGGGCTTCCGTCCCCAGCTGGGTGAGCTCCCATCCTCAGCAGAGTGAGCTCCCATCCCCAGCCGGGTTAGCTCCCGTCCCCAGCGGACTGAGCTCCCGCCCCAGTCGGTTGAGCGTCCACCGTCGACGAGGCGAGCTGTCGTTCGCAGCGGAGTGGGCCATCCGCAGCTGGTCGAACCCCTGTCCCCAGCCAGACGAGGTGGGGCCGCCGAGGCTGAGACTTGGAGATGTGCGTGGCCCTTTATAGTAGACCATGGTAGCAGCGTTCAGTCATTCTCATCACATGCACTGCATGCTCAAATGGTCGCTGAAATCTCAGGGATCCTCAAGAGTGGGGATGCACCATGAGCATTCAGCATGTAACTGGTACGTGACGCTTCCATACACCACTCCTGGCTGTGCAGGCAGACTCAGCTGAGCAGTGATCTGTTGTGTGCTGGCGTGAGATGCGCTCCTGGCTGGCTGTCGGACGCCACGTCCGCCGCGCGTGCTCCCTGGTGCGGTGTCGCCGCTGTGCCGCGAGTGTGACCGCCTCCCGCCGCCGGCGGTGCTGGCAGGTGGACGTGGCCATCCAACAGGCGCCGTGCAACTTCAACGACTACATCATCCCCCGCTCGCCGGACGAAGACGCCTCCGCCCCGCCGGCTGCACCAGCTCCGCAGCACCGGTGAGTGGGGACCCTGATACGTCACCTAACGCCGGACGAGGACGGTCCCGCCCCGTCGGCTGCACCAGCGTGGCACCAGCGATGGGTGATCCTGACACCTCATCTAACGCCGGACACCGAACCCGGCCGGCTGCACCGTCGATTACATGGATACTTCAGCGCGCTCATTTGATCGGGCTTTCTTGACATCTGCGCCTTCAAGCAGTGATTGAGTGGTGCCGTTTCACCTCGTCAGGCGTCGTTCCACGCTGTCCTATGGCGTCCACCAAACCCTTCACTTCGAACACACTTCGGCGCTTCTGAACATTAGCCGGATTGATTTGTTTTATTTTGTGGAAGAAATTTGTTCTATTCTGCCTCTCCAGCTCGTGGCACGCTAAAGTAATACGGAATCGACGCCAAGGGTCAGTAACAGCCTGCACCCCGTGTGGTCGTCCGCGTGAGCTGGGCTGACGGTGCGCGGCCGCCGGCAGACTGCCCGAGATGCGCAGCTGGGCGTCCCGGCGGCAGCCCGACTGGGCCGACGCGCTCGAGCCCTATGGCGACGTGGAGGCGGTGGACGCGGCGCAGCTGCCCACCAACATGCGGCACGCGCAGACCGCCGGTAGGTGGCGGCTCGCTGGTGAGGTGACTGCTGGCTGTGGCCGGCAGGGGACGTGGACTCTGTGTCCGTGCTGGTGCCGACAGGCTGGGCGCGCTGGCGATGGCCCGTCACGCTGTGGCCGTCAGCTGGCTTCCCGTGCTGGACCGGTGTCGCTTTGTTTCGTGTGCTGGGCTGGCGCACATCGTGCGTCCAAACGGTGCGCCGGTCGGGGTCGCGGCCGGCACGGTGGCCGCTTCAGCAGGTGTGACCGTGTGACTGACGCCGGGCGTGGGCCGCCAGGCGGCGGCGACGCCGGCCTGCGAGCGCTGCAGCGGCTCAACAGGTCCAGTGACTCGGAGCTCGACCTGCTGGAGGAGTGCACCAACTCGTCCGACATGTCGAACGGTGAGAGTCCGCCTGCGCCGGGCCGTCGGGGGACGCTGTGGCGGCTGGCGTATCCGTGTAACTGTACCGCGAGCGGCCCAGCGTAGTCCGCCAGAATTTGAGCATTGTCCACAAAATTTATGGTGTGAAATGTAGCCGGGCCGGCTTCGGATTCTGCCCGTGTGAGGTGTGTTTATTTTGAGGCACTTATTGAAACTCATTCGTGGAGATCAGCTACACGACGTTGGTGTGAATATGTCGAGTGCACCATTGTTGGAAGAATAGTCTCTTGCTCGATTTTCTCCGCCCAGAAAATGTTACTGGCGGCCCTTTGCTGTGCAATTGCACGCTACTTTTGACGTGTCATGCTTCATCATACTAACTTGACGGCTGCTGATAGAGGTAACAGCCGTTGGCTGTGCGCACTAATTTGATAAAGGGTGGCAATGACGTTTGTGAGTTCTTAGGCTTTTGCGAATATGACTCGTTCTGTTTCACGTTCTTAACACGCGCCCGGGTGGCCGGCTAGATACCCTTCGCTCGGGTGGAGCGATTGTAACCCCGAGATCTCGGGAACTAAGAGAGCTAGTGACACCAAATTCATAGGGTGTGTTGACCTGTACGTGATCTCACTCAGGTCAAAGTTTGAGGTTCCTAGGTCATCTCCGTCTGGTTAAATAAGGTCAAACAAGGTCGAGTTTAGGTTGGTCTCCAAAGTGCCCTCAGAGCCTAGGATAACTGCTTCTAAGTAAAAGGCCGCATGCTCATTTAATTTAAGGTCAGGTTTCCATTTTTGACCTTTTGAAGGTCGTTGGCGACCAAAATCATACATGAGTGTTCTGAGTTTTGCATTTGAATAAGTGACAAAGATTGCGCTAGGCAGCATGTTTCTAAAATTAAATAATGACCTGGGTCATTTTAGCTCAATGACCAATTTGACCTCTAAGAGGTCCATGGAAGATGTATAATGCGGCTCCTGCCATCAATAAATTCGAAATGAGCACCAGAAACTGTCCCATTCAGCCTGCCATAGAGTAATAAAACAAGTCGATTTTGACATTGGTCCGACCGTCATACCTGACCTTAGGTCAACGTGATTTACTCATTCAATATCTGTGTTGCCTAATAAAGCATCTCAGATGTATGGCTTCCTCTAGCACTCCGTTGTTGCACCAGACTGAACGATTCCCTAGAAATTGACTTCGCCGAAACCGTGGCCCGATTTTGAGCTGCCACAGGCCAGCGACCTTACAAGGTACATCTACCTTTTTGATGCCAAACGATCCGCCATTTAATTGTCTACAGCTAGTTGAAATGTGGCGCGGCTACGCTGCGCTATTCGGAAACCGTTCCAAAAAAACTTCGGGTAGGGGTCAATTGGGCCCTCCACCCGAGCGCGTCTTAAGGCGCGAAATGTGTCCTCTTCAATACACTACCCCACCCCCGGGTGTCCGATCCAGTATCCCAACCAAATCCATCGCTGGACTGAGGTCATGCCAATATGTGAACATCGTCGAGATCAACACCGGTACCAGGTGACCAGCCCACGCGGCTAATGACCACTACTGCCCGGTGAAGCTGGTGCCGAGCTCACTCGTTCGGGTTCGATTGGTGCATGCGGTACAGTTCACGTCAAACAGACATGCAACACCAATCACCACACGGACACTGTCACGCCCGACACACTCAGCATGTTACGAATGGACAAACAGACGCTGCCCTCACAACCTCAAAAAAATGCTCTCCGTAGAATAACCAAGGGAATGGAGAGACAGATGTGATATTTCGGCTACATGTCCAACTATTTTTGTTGATCTGGCCAAGCTGTGTGTCGTCACGAACGCATGGTGCCGCCTTGCTGCCGGCGTGTCGACTCCCCCTGACCCGGCTGGACCCAACCCGACCGGCAGAGTGGGGGCGGACGGAGCTGGCGTCCGCGGGCGCCGCAGCTGACCCGAGGACAGCTTCCCGCCGCTGCCGGGCTCCACCGCCTCGTCGTCGGTCGGTGGCGACCGCTGCCGGCCGCCGGCGCCGGCGGCTGACCGCTCGCCGTCCTGGGCCGACCGCTCCTCGTCCGGCAGCCGGGCGGCCGCCCAGCCCAAACCCGGCCGCGGCCAGCCGAAACCCGCCGGGTTTGAACCGAAACGCGACAGGCCCCGACCGAAACCGGCTGGAAACCGGCCGAAACCGGCGAGGGTGCAGCAGGCGGCTGGTGAGGCCGGAGGCCCACAGCAGCCGAGGGCGGCCGGTGAGGCCGCGCCGGCGGCGGCTGTGGTGACGGCGCCGACGACCCCGCCCGTGACCGGTCAGGCGGCTACCGGCCGACGAGGCGGACAGTAAGGAGGTGCGCGTGATCGGCGTCACCGACGACAACTGGGACCTGATCGGGATGTTCGCCGAGCAGTACGGCACCGTGGCCGGCCGGCGACGCGACTCCGACGGCACCGGTGAGCGCTGCTCGCCAGAGAACGGCTGCCATAGTTAGCAGGCACCACTGGTAGGGTGTTCGCAACGACAATAAAGGATGGTGCTTCCCTGCGACAGAGCAAAACCCGGGACAATGTAGTGGGTAGGGTAATCATACATACTCCTTGCTTTGCCATCGTTCTCTCATGGACAGTATTATCGGCCAGGGACCAGATTGTTATACATCTGGTTGTTCGGCTGCTCCTCGGGCTGGTAGTTGTGTGTCCGGCCCCTGCCGTCATCAGCCGGTGTTTTCCGACGCTGTCCGTGGCGCCTCGGCAGGCTGGATCACCATGTCGCCGCCGGAGACGGCCGAGTGGCTAGCTGTCGGTGCAGAAGCACACAGCCCTGCGACATCCCTGGCGTCAAGTTCGCGCTGCCCGACGGTGGCGGCGCGTGAGGCATCTCTTCGCTTTCCGGTCGGCCGCCGTCGTCTCACTGCGGCAGGGTCACCGCGGGCGGCAGGCGGCGCTCTGTCCTCCCCCTGCGCACGAGGGGAGCCGTCCCTTCCCGGCCGGTGCTGTCACACCGCGGGGACCAGCGCTGACCGCGGGCGGGTACAGCGTGGCAGCGTCTGGCGCCTGGCCACTGTTCACCAGGCGGTGGCGGCTGGTTCAGCCACTCACGCCAGCTCTCCGAGACTCTCCGGCGAGTGGTCAGCACACGGTAAATTCGCTGCGCCGGAGAATACACGTGAGCCATGTGTGGCCGCCCCGGTACCCGCTGCCAGGGTGATGCACGTGTATTTGGTAAGGACTGGAGCGGCTTTTAAAGGCAGACACATCGCTGAAGCGCAGGTGTATCTCATCCCGCTCAGCGTGTTCTGCAAGGTTTGTGAAGGGCAAGCTAGTTGGATTAAAAATAGTCATTGTTCGGTACTGGGCAGAACTGCACCATATTTACATAGTGTTTTCGGGCAGAGCTGCCACAGATGACTTCAAATGGTGCCTCACTTGCTGAGGATATAGTCCAACGAGCGTCATTCGCTCTTCGAGGTCTGTCCAAACAACAGGAAGAGATTGCCTGGCCATGACCACCAGCTCAGTCACCATCTCGGATAGATGCTTTGGCTGAAGCCCTACCAGCGCTCAGATTGTCGTGGATATGCGGACTTGTCGACCGCGGCTGTGGACGGTGTGGCTCTGAACCTTTTAACCTTTCTGCACCGATGGCTCACCCTTTTTCCGTTTTAAGAGCTCAACGCTTGCCATCAAGCGAAACTCGACATCTGCAATGCAAGTTATCATACTTAATTTATGCCGTAATGCTACTGCATGCTGGCAAAGCAATGTCAGAACATATAAGCCCCCACTGAATAGTGGTTGCTGGACTTCCTCTTCAGTAGGTCCTGGATCAGTTTTCAAGTACCAGATTCAATATTTTCGTCCCGCATGTCGCCATTGTTCGGTGACATTGCGGCATGATTCAAATTTGTGCCTGATTAGCCTTCAGCTACAATAAACATTTCATGCCGTCAATGAGTGCCTCCTCAATAATTGCCGAACTTGCCTAAGGTGATACTCACTTGTACACTCCACTCCTCGTGGGAATGTGGTGACGTTTGCAAGGCGCGCCATGACCTAGCGCACGCGAGAAGCCTATTGTGACAGCTGTCGACCATATCTTCTGCGCGCGTGTTCTTGCGTCTGATGGAGCCGTCCCGCACTGCGTTGTGACGCTCGCGAATTACGCTGAGTGACTGCGGACCACACGTCAGGGAGTCACGAACCCGTGTGACGGTCGTGTCTGTGATACAGCATTCCCTCGGCGTACGATGCAATGGCGCAAATGTATCCCTTGAGATGAGCTCTGAATCCTCACCTCGTGAGCGGGTCTCATCAGCGGGTGCAGAGGGAGGCACCTCAGTGCCTCCTGACCAGTGCCGGTCGCGCCGCTTTGGGGGGATTGCAGAAACCTGATCGCAATGACATTATGGGGCTAACGGGACATGATCGCCACTGCTGGATGACCGTGTTGGTTTTTAGTTTGTGATAACTTTGTCGACGGATGCCTGTTGGCAGCGTCGACATCGATCGCGGGGGCGAAGCTGGTTAAATGTCTTCCTCGCGCGGCGTCCCGGGCTGTGTCTGCGCGTGCGTGATGGCCTCCAACACCAGGACACTGTGGACTGCTCGCTCGTGCTGGTTGATCCGGCACGTGCCCGGACCATGACGCGACGTGGTCGGTTGCTGGGGCTGCGAGTATGACCGCGTGAGCCGTGACAGCTCCGTCGCATGGAGATGAGCTCTTACGGCCCATGCCATGTCTGTCGGTGCGTGATCATGTTGGCTTTAAATTGTTCGATTGGTGTGAAGGGCGCATACAAGAGCCTGACCTGCATGTTTTTGTGATTGTCGTAGCGCGTGTGGCTCCACGTGGTATTTCGTGAATACACTGTCGGGAAGAAAAAACAACCTTGTGCTGATTTTTGGAAGCTGGGCTGTGACATATCGGTCCACATTAAAAGAACAAGATGCGTTACTTTCAGTGCAAACGTTTATCTCCGATGTAGCGCGATGCAACGCCATACCATCCCAGGAATACACGCGCAACCATTCGTACTACACATCTTCCGTGCCTTGCCCTCCGGGCTACGATCAATTTCCGCACCACGCGTGCGACATGGAGATAAAGCAGCCGC